TGGCCTCACTCACCTGTTGGCTTTTTAGCATTCTTTAACGCGTAGAACTTGCGACGCAACGACTCTGAGTCGCGCTGCGGCCACTCAGCAGGCAGGTTCTGATTGTATGCGTAGTGGCCATCATCCCATTGAGCCGATCCGAGCGGAAGAATCTGCTCGACGAGAGATAAGAGGCCTGCATTAGTGAAAGCAGCGCTAAAAGCATTCGTGAGATCCTATTTGTGACGCACTACGTACGTTCAACCTGAGGCGTAGTGGAGCCCTGTCCTCTTCCAGCAGTACGGCGGTTCATTGTGTGAGCTGTTGTGTCATAGCAAAACTAGAAGTGGGCTTGACTTGGTACCAATAGCTGTACCAGAAATGAGGTACGAACGATTTTGCGTCGACACATTTTGGGACGGCGTTACTGCGACATAGTGACGACAAGACGACAGCTCTTGTGGCAACACAAGCAGGTAAATTCACACAAAGAGATCCATAACATGCAACATAGTGTCGAGTCGGCGGTTATATAGACAGGAATTGACAGGAATCGGGAAAGATGAAAGTTACCGACGCCAATTGAGATATTTACAACAGCTCTGAAACTTGGTTTCACATTACATTAGCACTCAGCAACAGGAATGGATGAATCGAGCGCTGATCAGGTCGAACTGCCGCGTGAAACACCTTTGGCTGCGAGCGATGAAGACAATGACGACCTCTCCGCAGCTAAGAAGATGATTGTCTGCAAGCAGATGCTGCTGTCGAGGCTCCAAGCGATCGAGGTGATGGAAGAAAGACTCGCGAAAATTGCCAAGTACTCCTTGAAACTGCTGAACGAGCGCGACGAGTTGCTAGCGATTATCTCGCGCGAAAAGGATGAGATTTTTGTATTGCATCAGCATTTGGTGTGTCGACGCTCGGTACTGGATATGTGCCCTCGTATTCAGTGTTGCTGGAGCAATGCTTCGAGACTCTGCTTGAACATCAATAGCCTTGTCAAGGATGAAGAGAAGGGACACTAAGACATCTAACAAGGAGATTGGAAAGATTCTTGTCTGGTAATAGCTTCAGGTCAGTTTGAGCAATAGCGCTAGCGATTCTGTTAGTGACTGTACTCACCTCTGGCTGTATAAGTATCATCCACATGATACGAAGTCGCATAACGGCAATGTCATCGGCTGTAGGGGCGGTATTGGAAAATCGAAAGCTGTCTTTCAGCATGGCATATACCTGAGCGATCACCATAACTCATATGACGTTCCATCAGGCTGTTTAGGCGCATCGAGCCACACGCCTTCTTCTTCGACCGGGTACTCCATATGAGGCTTCGTATTATCATGCCAGGCTTTCATAAATGGCGTTAGTACATCTAGTAGGTGGATTCCATGGCAGCATGGAAAGTTGGGCTGCACAGTGGCTCGTAATAATACGGGGTGAAGCATGGAGGCTCCGGCAAATACGCTATACAGATCATGATGACGCCCCAGTGTATGTTGCTCAAATGCACCGGCAACACGATGTAGTGCATGCTTGATATTCACGTCTGAGGCGGTGTTGGGCAGCCAAACGCTGTCGCAAACGAATCCAGAGCAAGACAATCTTCTAGCGTATTGCAGATACACTTTATACCAGAGTGAATGATAGCATCCGAGAGCATGCGGTCGCGCGCCACCATGCCAACCACATTGTCGAGCGTGACACTTGCTTCACCACTTTCTAGTCGAAATTTGGAGCTCAGACACGCTCGATCGAGCTGCTCCACGACTTCCTGCGCTAATTCTTGGTGTTTTTGCCCAGAAGTGCGCAACATTAGGTCACCCGAGTCCGTCTCCGCGTCGAAAAGCTCCGGGTTGGCTGTGATCTCGTGCCATTTGGTTGCTTTTTGCCATGTCACGTCAGCCTCCCATGCGCAACACCTGCATATCCCAGCGTGGGTAGATGGTCGACTCAGGAAGGCTCTCAAAATGATGAACACGATCGGCGATATACATCAAATGCTGGCCAGGAAGGCGATTGCTTGCGTAGAACAAACACGCGCAAGTCCATTCGTTGTCGTTGCACCGATAAGTATGCCCCCGAGTGCCCACTTCCCACTCACCAACACCTTGCATCTTCGTGTATGTCATGTCGTCGAGAAAGCCATGAAGTAACCCCGTTGCGAACGAACTTTCGATAGCAGATCATCACTAAGGAGCGTCGAAACACCGATCAAAAAATCGAGCTACGAAACTGGCTTCGCACCCGGTAGAACGTTGACCACACTGACGACGCCCTTCACCTCGCGAAGCCTGCGCTGTGCCATGCGTGCACCACAGCTTCTTGAAACTGTGTGTCAAGTGAGCCGGAATTTGCGTTGCTCCAGACCGACTATGCAATGTAAGAGCAGCGACAATCACAACACAAAGTACAACACAAACATTAGCAATTCTACCCTGCGTCAAATGAAATGCCACTTACCGATTGTGTGTAGCTCTGGTTTCCGAGCTTCTAATGCGATATAGCACGAGGTGTTCGGCCTGATAGCGATCAAACTCTTTGTGGAAGGCTTCCCAATTTGAAAATGTCTTGCGAGGAAGTCCTTGAATCACGTTTGTAACAAACTGATGACCCTCAACCATTTTTTTTCGAGCTTCCCATGTCTTCGTTTTGCGTCGTTCCAGATGGCGGGTTGGCAACATCGTCGTTTCACTGGCAAGCGCAACAGAACCCACATCTACCGACGATGACTTGGCCCGTTTGTGTAATGATGCACTCTCTTCGGTAGCGTCGTCGTCTGGGGCATGACGTCTTTTCTTTTCTTTTCGGTGCATTTGACGGAGAATGGCGTTGCGTAGAAGCTTCAGCCACTGCGTTGCTTCGAGCCGCGCTTATGAACTCGTGTACAGTCCTGTCAAAGTCTTTTTGCATAGCAACATACCAGACCGTACTGATTAGCAAATCCACACACGCAACACAGCACGAGCAAAGCAACATAATATCACACCCGTGCTCGCATCGCCAGCAGCGTCCACACTTAGCCTATTGTCCGCGCCGGTGGTCGCTCCGTCGTCTTCAATCCGGTCGTCAACGTCGTCTTTCACGGCCTCTGTGTCTGCGTCGTCGCCTTCCACGGCCTCTGTGTCTGCATCGTCTGTTTCGTTCACATTGTCCACGGCGTCCACATCGTCTGTTTCGTTCACATTGTCCACGGCGTCCACATCGTCCGCGTTGACCACAGCATCGACGGCGCCCGCATCTTCGCCGTCAGCGCGCTCTTCTTCTTCATTGCAGTCCTCGTCGATTGAGTAATCTTTGGCTATACCCTGGACAGCTCGCACGTAGTCGATTGCCTGCACATGGTGCAAGCCAATACGACGCGCTAGAATATAGAGCATTAGCTGATGCCAACAAAGAGGCGCACGTAGATTAGTCGTACCTTGTTCTCCTGGTATCACTAGCTGCCGTGTCATCCTCGGCCGCTTGCGCTGCGCTCCTTGCTTCTCTCCCCCTCTGCTTACGCAAAATGAGAGGCCAGTGCACATCGTATCTAAACGGGAACATGATTTTTTCGTACTTAGACGCAAACAGAAAATCGCATTAGTTTCCCCGAAGACTACTCCAAATGTTTTTGAAAGATAAGTAGAGATAAATTTCGGAGCAACACTGTGTTGCTGTCAGCCCATCATCGTGTTGTCGCCACTATGTCGCAGTAACGACTCCGCACATTTTGTGGAGACGAGAAAAACGCCTCAGCATTTTACTACCGATATGTGACAACAAATACGTCACGGCTTTGTCAGACGCAAAAATCGAGTTTGTGTAGGTTTTGGTAGAGCTCAAAGGCGGCATCGCTTTGCATTACGAAGTTAATATTTACTATTTTAATTATGCATGTTTTTTTATATTCCAGACAGAGCAACTTATTCTCAAGGAAATAGCCCCTAAAGGCGCTTCCTTTGCTGCAAGGTGCTTAGCGTACACGTAGGAATGCGTGTTTTCGAGGCATACTATTAATATTCGTAACGTTGTTAATAGTTTCTGCAAGCTACAATGACCAAAATAATAACCACAAGTGTTTTGCTGTAGAAATATTAATTGTTTTATTAGTGTGACTGAGCTGCCACGTCGTAGTACATGTACAACAGAAGCTAGCCGTAAGAACTGCCCGTAAGAACAACGCTGTGCTAATAAACGTTGTCACTTGATCCATAAAAATAGATAGTTTTAGATTGAACAACAATAACTCATATGTGTAAATGAACGCTACATGCACAAATATATTACTACAACTCCAATATTTTCTACAATCTTTGGTTACTTACCTGCTCAAATAGGCCGTACAAGCGGTAAGTAGTACAAGCTGGGCAGGTCATTACTATCTTTTGCGTTGATGTGAGTTAAGTTTCATACCGGTTCAGAAACGGCCCGTTATACCGAGCACGACGCTGAACTAACAGTTAACATATTGTGTAGCGTTTGTAAAAATGTTATTTGAGGTGCAGGTGGAATTTGAAGATACAGTGATAGCAACAAAAGTAAAGAGATTGTATCAAGATCATTAGAATAATAATTTTAGATGTAGTAGGCATAATGCTGGGGGCTCAGGCTTTTGTAAAAATAATTGCACGGATTACTGGAGAGTTAGCATTTTGTATAGACTGCTTAAAATTGTTTCGTGCCTGATAATATATATTATACCCAGATAATTTAAATTAGAAAGCCCATTTAAAATATACTTTACCATAATAGGCTCCGTTTTTCTGGAATAACTGTCCCAGGCGGAAAGGCCTAAACAAGTAGAACTCAACCTAAATTACCAGAGTGATTATCAAACTGCGAACCAAAAATCCAGACGAGACATAAGCCTGGCCTGATTTCGAAAGGTATCCGGTTGCAGATAGTATACGTCTTGCTCTGATTCTTCACTTTGAATGGGCTTTGTGAGTCAGCCGACTATACCGCTGTACCCATCTGTCCGCAGGCTTTAAGCCGTATAGCATGCATATCACATCTTGTTAGATCTCATTTAAGCTTCTGCAACCTCGAGGTGAAGCATTTCTCCCTCTACCTTTGAGCCCCATCGATACGTGCCATGGACGGACTTAGTCGCGCCTTCCACTTCATCCTGGACCCCTTCCAGAGCGAGAAGAAGCCCGAAAAGGAGGCCACAGCCCCCTTTGACCAGCCCTACCTCGAGCCCACGCGGTGGTTCCTTACTGAGGAAGAGATGCGCACCTCACGCGACGGCTACAAGCGCGAGGGCATCCACCTCTACACCAAGGGGAACCGCGTCAAGCTATACGTGGCCTCGGCCCCCTACTTCAGCGACGTGGCCGACGACATGCTCGAGGTGCGTCAAGGTGACCTGGTCTACCTCACGGGCTGGGGCACGTGCAACGTTCCCTTCAAGCCGCACGAGCCCGACACCAAACTGGCTGACCTGGCTGAGCACGCCGTCAAGCGTGGTGCTGACTGGCGCATGCTCGTGTGGTCCAACATCACGGAGCGTGCCCAGAACCACGAGGTGCGTGACCTCATCAACGCTCTGCCGCCTCCGGAGCAGTACGGCCCCGCCCGCTTCGTGTACGACGACCGTCTGCCTCACGCCACGTCGTCGCACCACCAGAAGTCGGTGATCGTGCGTAAGGGCCGTGATCTCGTCGCCTACGTGGGCGGTGTGGATCTTACCAACGACCGCTGGGACACCATCGAGCACGACCAGGCCGAACTGCGTGAACGTACGGGCATCAAGTGTCTGTGGGATGGCTGGCTGGATGCCCACGCGCGTATCGAGGGCCCTGCTACTAAGGACGTGGCTCAGAACTTCTTCGACCGCTGGAACTCGGACACGCAGCCGTCGCAGGATCTCATGGACGACCTGCTGGACTTCGAGAACCCGGACTACTCCGACCTCCCGCCTATTGACGAGGGCGAGATCCCACTCGACATTCCTCAGGACGGCACCCACGCTGTGCAGCTGTGTCGTACCTTCAGCCCGGACTACGACCACTACGGCTTCGCCCCTCAGGGCGAGCAGTCCATCTTCCACGCCCGTATCAAGGCCATCCGTAACGCGCAGAACTACATCTTCATCCAGGACCAGTACTTCATTCTGGTGCCGGAACTGCTGGAGGCCATCATGGAGATGATGCCCAGTATTGAGCGTCTCATTGTCATCGTGCAGCGCACCGTCGAGGCGGGCTACACGGGGTACGCCAAGTACCTGTACGACATGGTTGCTCCGATCCAGAAGGCGTATCCGGACAAGTTCAAGTTGTACTCGACGAAGGAGTCCAAGCAGCTGTACATCCACAGTAAGCTGGTGATTGTCGACGACGTGTACGTGTCGCTGGGCTCGGCCAACTGGAACCGCCGCAGTATGACGAGCGACACGGAGATCGGCGTCAACATTGTGGACACGGAGCTGGTGCAGTCGCCCGACAACATTACGGTGAACAAGCTGGCGCGCAACTACCGTATCCAGAAGTTCATGGAGGCGACGAAGCTGACGTACGACAAGCTGGACGCCATGACGTTCCTGGAGGCGTGTGACGCGTTGGAAGCCGCTGCGCACGACGACGGCTCCAGCATCATCGAGCCGTACTCGGTGGAAGATCAGGCGCATTTCGACTTTGTGCCGGATGCTCTGCGCCAGATCGTGGACCCGGACGTTGAGGGGGATGACTAAGCGCTCCCCAGACTGTCATGTGGTGGGTTTATGTTTCTGATTAAGTTTTCGCTTTACTGTGAGGTTGTTTTCTTGCTTTTGTGTGAGATGATAGCTGCATTGCGCTCATCAAGAGCGCGGAAGAGCGATCCAAAATATGAAAACAATAATAAAAATGTTTGGCATGTTGAAGACGGTGAAGTGATATTTTTAATCGAGAGATGACGCGTGACTCGAGTTCTGTCTCGCTCAACTGTAAGTGTTCACTGAACCAGACCATTTCGACCACCTTACAGTTTACAAGATGGCCAAGCGGTTAGTACCGTTTCACATGGGAGCTGCTCAATTGTTAAGACGTGCAACAGAGTTACTTATCCAGCTATTCTAGCTAGGGTAACAGGGACTTACCTACTTTACCACCCATTTCCATTGACTGTGAAACGACCGATGTCTTGCTAAATACGGACGGAGAATCTTGAAGAATACCGCTCACAAGTTTGGTGGAGTAGTGTCCGACCCTCTTTTCCATTCTCATTTTAGCGTCGCGTCGACTTGTCCTATCAAGAAACCCGGCCACGAGATCTGGTGGCGCACGCCCAAAGATGGACGGCGCCCCCAAAGAACTCGAAGCCGGAAGTTATGAAAGGCAAAGCTCTCCGATTTGCAAAGGGGAACACACGTCAATCGTCGGTGCCTCGATCCCACATCTGCTAGTGATCTCCATGCCTCGGATGGCCATTCGAATGGCATGGGCGGCGCAATGGGCTGCACTTGGTCCCTATCTCGGTACAATGATGCCCAAGTACGCCGTCCAACTTACTCAGATCATCGGTCCAGAAACGGGTATCCTCGTGGCTCCAATCGTCGGTGCATTCAGCGATCGAAGCACAAGCAAGTGGGGTCGCCGTCGACCGTTCTTGATGTATGGTTGTAGTGAATCCTAGGTATTTCACCTTGGTTTCCCTCATAGTTCAACGGAGACGACCCAAGGGCGCCTGGCAGCTTTGCCATCTTCAGGCGATGTATCTGCGTGTCTTCCCAGTCGGGCTAGTAAGGTCCGACCCGGGTTTTATATTAGGGACCAGGCCAACTACATATCATCTTTCTTATAACTTTCCCAGCGAACTTTCTGAGGGACGCCTTAGAAAGAAGCTGATAATTGAGCTCGATCTGGTTACCATCAGACTCGAGACTCATTCTACGATTTGCCCGATACAATACATTTGGCTATAAGTTCCAGCGGGGTGGCTCCCGCTTTGTCGAGTGTTGATTGGTTTTTCGCCCGGGATTTACTACAAAGAATTCTTTAGTGGAAAAAGTGTTTTCTTTGGTACAAGTCCAGCTGCTTTTGTACCAGGAGAAAAGAACAAGTATAAGAGCCTGTTTCTGCCGTCGTGACTGTGGTTTTCTTTTGGCGCGACCGAAGCGAGCCGCTAAGGGCCCAAGGGTTAATCGTGGTTATTTCGGCGTGAGTGGGACTGAACCTCAACAAGTACCAGCCAGGATGCAAGGAGCTGGTGCACCGGTATTTACACCGATCGTAGCACCGGAAATTACAAGTATCTCTCATGAAGCTCTGACTGATTGGACGAACAAGCGCCGTCACTACGAGAGCAAGTTGAGGGCTCGATGCCGCGCTACTGGAGAAAATTATGACAACATAGTCCAGTCCGTTCGCGACTCAATGGATCCTGATTTACTGGATGTACTTTGCGAGCTGAGATTGAACGAGGACGTTGCTAACGTGAATGACGACATGCTGATTGCTGAGTTCGCCCTCATCCTTTCAAGCGTGAAGAATGACACGCTCCCTGACGTCAAAGCATTAGTCAGATCCAAACTGAGGATGAACCTGACGGAGAGTGATGTCGACGCCCGTGTGCTGGACTACTTTAACCAGTTCCGGAAGTTAGTGCGCGAGAATGGTCTGGGCGCCTGCTTTGAAGGTGACGGGGGTAACGAGGCAAAGTGCAAGCAACTCGTAACCTCTCTTCACCCAGCGGCTCTCAAGGAAGAAGTGGAGCAGTGTTTGCAGTATACGCACAAGCAGGCCGCCTCGATTCCAAGACTGTTGTTTGACCTCGTCGTTGAGAAGGCGAAGGAACATGAGCGCCAGTTTCTAAGACAAAGGAATAAGAAACGAGATCGCGATGAAGATCTGCAGAAGAAGAAGAACCCCGAAGGAAAGAAGAAAATCAGGACCGGTGAGAATACGGAGGACTCTTCAAGGAAGGTGGCCAAGACCAATAGCATATCCAAGACTAATAGCATATCCAAGACCAAGACGAAATCGAAGTCGAAGAAGCTACCTCCAAGTCCGTGTCCAAAGTGCAATGAGATGCACTGGCTCAACGAGTGCCCCAATGCAACTGAAGATGAAAAAGTGGAGCTGAGGAAACGCTTGCGTGAGGCGAATGCAGCCAAGCGTACAAGGACCAAGCGCCTTGGTGAGTTTCTACCGACTCCATCTCGTGCTGTTATGGTGAATGGAGTACTGGAGATTCCGTACTGCGCTGACAGTGGCTCTGACCATACCGTGATGGGCCGCTCTCACTGAAATCAACTCCGGGCTCTGGACCCAAGTGTTCAAGCTGAAGAACTTACTGTTCCTGTTCAGAACCAGACGTTTGGGTCTATGTTGGTGACTGCCGATAAGAAGGCCAAACTCCATTTAATGATTCGCACCGCGGCTGGGCAAGTTAAACCGATGAAGGCTGTGGATGTGTTGATTGTCGACATGGATGACAACGAGTTCATACTTGGCAATGATGTACTAAGAATGCTTGGGATTGATGTGGAGCGTCAACTGGAGCAACTAGCTGACCTAAATGTGGATGAAACAAGTGGCGATCCTGTTGAACTGGAAGCCGACGAATCTCCGGTCCGAATTGGAGAACCTCAATCTGAGAATGAGGACGTATTTGCGGCAGTTGAACGGTTAGTTGAGCAAGCAGTCGAGAACGGATTCCCAGCAGACAAGCTCGATCGACTTCGTACTATCATCCATGCCTACGATGTATGGCGTTTGACTCTGCAGGATGACCCACCAGCACGTGTTCCACCTCTGGAGATACGACTACGGGGAGGGGCTCGTCCAACAAGGTGTAAGCCTCGACGGTATCCCCCTCACATTCGCAAATTTCTTCACGATTTCAACTCTCGTTTGGTAAAACTAGGACTCGTTTACGAGAATTCGGAAAGTCGATGGGCGAGTCCCGTTCTCCCTGTCAAGAAGTCAGCGGACCTTATGGATCTTAGGCAAACCACAGACTATCGTGAGCTGAACGCATTGACTGAAGTCATGGCAGCAGTTATGCCGATTTTATCCGTGGTGATGGAGAACGCGAAGGGAATGAAACATTTCGGACTCTTTGATTTTTTGAAGGGCTTTTGGCAGCTTCCGTTGGCTCTAATGTGTCAAGAATTGCTTTCATACATGACCGATGAGAAGGTTTTTACCCCTCGCAGAGTACCTCAGGGTAGTAGTGATGCTGCGATATTCTTTCAGAAGACCATGGAGAATTGCTTTGCCAGTCTACTGTACGACCATTTACTGATTTGGATCGACGACTTACTCCTTTATGCCAAGGATATTGATGTATATTTGGACAAGTTGGAAGAAATGCTGTCACTAATGGACCACTTTGGCTTAAAGCTGAGTGCAAAGAAAACGAGCTTGTACCAGACTGAGGTCAAGTGGTGCGGCAGGATCATAAGTGGTGAAGGCATCAGACATGACCCAAACCGAATTGACTCGCTACGTGCTTTGCCATACCCACGTACTGCCGGAGAGCTTCAGCAATTTGTCTGTGCGGTCAATTGGATGCGTCAAAGCATTATTGATTTTGCAAGGCAGATTGCCCCTTTACAACAAAAACTTGACGCGGCTCTCACGAAAACCAAGAGGACCAAGAGGGCGGCTTCTGGCATTAACATTGAGCTGAGCAGTGATGAACGAGTGGCATTTGACCGGATTAAGGATTCGATCGCCAAAGCTGCTACTCTCGATTTTCCTGATGACAACGCTACCACATGTCTCTTCACGGATGCCTCGAACGTTGGATACGCCGCTATTGTGACTCAAGTTGTGGACTTCGACCCTCAGAAGCCTGCTACAGAGCAACAACATCGGCTCATTCACTGCACAAGTGGAACGTTTGCCGGTAGCCAGCTAAATTGGACTGTCATCGAGAAAGAGGCATTCCCCATATTCGTTGCCTGTGATAAACTGGATTACTTGCTACTAAGGCCAAAACCCTTTCGGATGTATTGTGATCATCGTAACCTGATTCACATCTTCGCACCGGACGTTTCGATCAAGAAACATATTAAAGGGAAACTTTTACGATGGTCCATGAAGCTAATGAACTACCAGTATGTAGTGGAGCATGTACCGGGATCTGATAATGTATGGGCCGATATGATTTCCCGCTGGGCTGGTAACCATTCGCCAGCTGTAAAACGACTGAAGGTTGCTCGGGCTCGCCCAAACCAAAGGACTGAGACTGTGTCTGCTTTGCGCCCTCTGGATGATGATCGTTTTGTGTGGCCTACACTGGTGGAACTCAAGGAAATACAAGCCAAGAACTCGGCTCCTGTTCACGCTAATCGAAATGATGATAGTCTCGTGACCCTGGAGGACAAGCTGTGGATCCCATATGAAGAAAAAGAGTTACTTCAGCGGCTGTGCATCATTGCGCACTGTGGCGCTCAAGGGCACCGCGGCCAACAAGCCATGATTGCACACCTGGGACGGCTCTTCGCTATCGAGAACCTCTCAGATGTGGTCGCAAATTTCGTTAAGAAGTGCCTGCTTTGTCTGCATTCAAGAGGGGGAAAGATTATCCCACGTCCGTGGAGCGAGGTGATTGAGTGTCGTACACGTAATGGTGTTCTTCATTTTGACTTTCTTTACATGGGTGAAAGCTTTGGAGGCAGCAAATATCTTTTGGTTATGAAGGATCACGCCACACATTACTGCGAATTGGTTGTTGCAGACTCAGCCGAAAGTAGTGTTGTGGTTGAAGCTTTACTGGATTGGCACTCACAATTCGGTGTTCCTCCTGAGTGGGTGTCTGATTGTGGAACCCATTTCAAGAACGAGATTGTCGCCGAGCTGAGTCGCCGTCTCCGGTCGAAGCAGTCATTCACACTTGCGTATAGTCCGTGGGTTAGCGGATCAGTTGAACGTGTGAACCGGGATGTACTACAAGTGGTGAGAGCAATGATTTTAACATACAAAATTGGATACAAAGACTGGGTCTACTTGGTTCCGGTGATGCAAGCCAATTTGAACCATACAGCACTCCCATCTCTTGGGAATCGAGCGCCAGTCGAGCTGTTCACTGGACTGCCACGGCCTACACCCCTCTGTGAATTTTATCTACCAGTGAAAAACAAGTTACAGCAGATTCCACAGAGCGAGCAGATAGACGACTACCTAAATCGGTTGAGAAGCAGCTTACAGAAGATGCATGAGGTGGTTGAAGACAAAAGACTGAAGCAAAGACTTTTGAACAAGAAGCGCGAACGAGGAGAGAATCTCGTAAACTTTCACGTTGGAGATTACGTCTTGCGATCCCGAACGGATGAGAAACGTGGAAACAAACTCCAAGTGAATTGGGTTGGACCGTATCGAGTGACTCGGGCCGATTCCCACTCCTTTCGTGTAGAGCACCTGATTACAGGAGAAGAACATGATGTGCACCCTTCACGGTTCAAGATGTACGCAGACGACAGCTTAAATGTCACGGATGAGCTACTCGAACACGTAGCTGCTCAAGGAATCATCTTAGCAGTTAAGGAGCTGAAGGGCCACAAGTGGAATAATGCTACAAAGGACTTTGATATTTTAGTAAGCTGGAAGGACCTACAGTCGATCGAAGACTCTTACGAACCAATGCAAGTTTTGAATAAGGACATCAAGATTTTATTGAAGAGATATGTGGACACTGCTGAAGACCCTCGTCTCACGGATCACTGAAGAAGATAGATCGTGAGGACGGCAGCACGGCGTCTACACCTCCTGAATCAGCGAAGGGCAAGAAGCCTCGTGGCCGCCCTCGCGGCAGGAAGAAACGAAGTCACCCCGATGGAGAAACCGTCCGGCGTGACAGCGACGACGCGGATGAGGTACAACCTCGAAGTGTCCAGCAAACAGCTCAGCGTACTTTGGATGAGGACAGCCAAGGGCACACCGGTGCCGAGGACCAAGATCCTCAGCTTCCTCTAGGTCGTCGAACTCGATCAATGATGACAGCCACCGTGGGCCAAGTTCCGCGTGTCCGCAGTCAGCAGAGATCTCGAGCACCCAGTCAGCGCCTCAAGAAACCAGTCCGGTTGTAAGCGTCAGACGCTTGCCAGCCGTTGGTCATGCGCTCTGGGTGATATCGCCACAACCTTCGCAAGTCGAGCGGAGGGGTAGTGGGGAAACCAAGCTTCGGGGGCTGTGTAGTGAATCCTAGGTATTTCACCTTGGTTTTAGGCGATGGGTCTGCGTGTCTTCCCAGTCGGGCTAGTAAGGTCCGACCCGGGTTTTATATTAGGGACCAGGCCAACTACATTTATAACTTTCCCAGCGAACTTTCTGAGGGACGCCTTAGAAAGAAGCTGATAATTGAGCTCGATCTGGTTACCATCAGACTCGAGACTCATTCTACGATTTACCCGATACAATACACCTGGCTATAAGTTCCAGCGGGGTGGCTCCCGCTTTGTCGAGTGTTGATTGGTTTTTCGCCCGGGATTTACTACAATGGTGCAGTCACCAGTGCCATTTGCTGGACGGCCATGGGATACACCCGTCAGATCGGCGACGCGTTGGGTGACATCGGTGATGGCAAGAAAGGACAAGAGACCCACCGGTTCTGGACCATCTTCTTCACGGTCTTCTTCTACACTTGGATGGACATAACAGTGAATGTAGTACAGACTCCGCTGTATCTGATGATCTCGGACTTTGCTGGCGAGCGCCAGACACTCGCCTCTTCCCTCGCATTGGGATGGTCGTGTCTCGGTTCAATCTTGGTATCAGGCTACATTTACCTGTTTGGTGCGGCTCACCTGACACTTCGATGGTTTCTGTTCATGCTGTCGATCACGATGGTTGGTACCGTCTCAATTACGCACTCAAGAACGACCACGTGATAAACTGGAGCCGGTAAATGAGTCAAGCTGGCAGCAAGTCAAGAGTGCTTTCGAGGCCATTGACGACGGATTCAAGTCACTTCCAGTAGAGTTGCTAAAGTACTGCGCTGTGATCTTCTGCGTCTCGTATGGCAATACCGCTTACAACGGTAACAAGGGTCAGTTCTTTGGTATCGAGGTATACGGTGGGAGTGCAATGGGCGCCAAGACGTGTGCACCCGACTGCACCCAGGCTCAAGACGCATACAACCGCGGCGTTCAAGTCGCTGGAGGAAGAACTGACCTCTTCTTCAGTATCGAGGCTACATTTACTCGTGGGTTCTACCGTGGCTAGTGAAGAGGTTCGGAGCCAAGTGGATGCTTGTGGTCTCAATGATTCCCCAGTCTATGCTGATCGTCATGGCCTACTCCACTAGCGTCCCACTGGACGTGATAATTGTGATCTTCACCTCACTAACTACCACCACTCTGTTCGCACTCAATGTACCCGTAATTGTCCATGTGCTTGGACATGAAGCGAATATCGGGGTCTACGTTGGTGTATTCAACGCAGCAAACTGCCTCGGTCAACTCATCAACTTCATCGTCGGCGCTAGTGTCGTTGGCACCTCCATGGGCTACAAGCTACCAGTGTTCCTCGGCGGCCTCATGAGCTTAATCGGTCTGCTGTTCACTCTTTTCTTCTTCAAAGTGTGCACTCCATGTAAATATTATAAATCTAATATAAAAAACCACAATAGCAAAACGATGCAGTTTTATAAGTTGACTGGTTTCTAAGAAATCAAATAAGCGATAGGACGGACGAGCAGGTCGTCTGTTTTACATGGAGTACATCTTCATTTTGAAGAAGAGTAAGGCTGTGATAAAGCCGAGGGCGCTCATGATACCACCGAGGAACACTGGAAGTTTGTAGCCCAGCGAAGTCTCCACCAGGCCAGAACCAATGGCAAAGTTCAACAATTGGCCGAAGCAGTTGGCCGAGTTGAGAGCGCCAACGTAGATACCGATCTCCTCGTCCTCCCCGAAGACGTGGATGATGACCGGTACAATGAGAGCGAACCACACCGCTTGGGTGATACTTGTGACTGCGACGATAAAGACGTTGAACGTGACGTTGCTGGTCCACGCCATGACCATCAGGAAACTCTGCGGGATGGTCGAGATCGTCAGAACCCACTTCACTCCGACCTTGTGCACCAGATACGGCAACGTCCACGAGTAGATGTAGCCGACGATGTTGAACAGCAGATCAGCACGACCACCGGCAATGCTGACACCGTCGTTGTATGCGTCCTGCGCGGGGGTGCACGGGTCACAGCTGTCGGCGTTTTCAGCCGAGCCGTCGTACACTTCGAGACCAAAGAACTGTCCTTTGTTGCCGTTGTACGCCGTGTAGCCATATTGAACGAAGAAGAAGCAGACGCCGTAAATGGCGAGCACGCCGGGCAGCGTGCGAATGCCGTGGTACACGGACGCGAAGGCGTGTCCAATACGTTTCCAAGTGGACACAGCGTCGACCTTACTGGGGTCCAGTGGGGTCTCCTTCCCGAGAACCACAGCGACACTGATGCAAACGAACATCGTGGCCGAGAGCATCCACATGAACTCGTGGAGAGTCTTATGTGCAGCTCCGAAGAACTCGATGTAGCCGGCCACAAGGATCGAGCCCAAAGTGGACCACGCCTGACCCAGAGCAGCTCCAGTGGTCTGACGATCGCCAGCAAAGTCAGCCACTAGAAGCATGGCTGGGGTTTGCACCACGTTGACAGTAATGTCCATCCAAAGGTAGAAGAACACGGTGAGGATCGACGTCCAGGTGCGGTCAGTTGGCTGGCCGTCAGTACCGTCGCCATGGTCGCCAAGTGCTTCGCCCATATCGCGCGTGTAGCTCATAGCAATCCAGCAGATGATACTTAAAATGCCTGCGGTGATGAGGAACGGACGGCGTCGACCGAACTTGGAGGTGCTGCGATCACTGAGAACGCCGACACTGGGGCCGACCAGCACTCCGACAATGGGACCGATGAACTGAGTGATTTGGACTGCAAAGTTGGGCAGCATTGTGGACAGGTAGGGCCCCAGAGCTGCCCATTGAGCCGACCAGGCCATGTTAATGGCCATACGCGGCATGGAGACCGCGAGCAGCAGCCAGATCGGCGGGTGGGACAGAGGAGCTGGCTCATCGACGGCGCCTTCCTTGGTTCCGGGCTTGGGCGAGTTTTGAAGGCCGTAGCCTTTCTCCGTGTCGGCCATTGTGAACAGACGAGTCCAGTCGACTCGAGAGAGCAAGTTGGAGAATGACGTATGGTGGCTGAGCTCGATCAAGTGATGGTAACCATCCGCTGAGCGAAAAAACAGCCAGCGAATCCCAACTGCGTGCCACAAACTGCAAAGCCTCTGTTGTTAGTGGCTTGGTTTCAGTCGACTTTACAGTGTAACTGTCCCTGCCGAGTTTCATTCCATGGCAACGTCTAAAATGTAGTAGAGATCACGGTTCATTTTGTTCATTTATGCCTTCAGCACGTGCCAAAAATGAGGTTAGCAAGGAAGAAGAATGCTGCAACACCAGATCGGCGGGCGCCACAACTGTACTGCGTTGAAGCTGGTGTTGATGACCTCCCAGTGGGAGTCCCACGTGTCAGCCCAAGAAGTAATCTCAGCCGATTTGCCAGCAAGACGCCGCCCTGAGGTCCAGGTATTAAAGACATGCACTGTAGGTACTCGCTCTTTGCGTTATTCCAGAAACTAAAGTTCTCTATTAATACCCGGTAGATTTATACTGTATTACTCGAGCCATTTTCTAAATATACATTTCTCACGAAGAAACGATACGAGTTCGAGAGCCCTATCGTTATTACGGCGTAAACTCTACGCGAAAGAGAGTCGCACCTGTGCTATAACTCTTTCGCGTAAAGTTGTCTTCAACGTCAGCCTAGTCTAACACACATCAAAGATGTATCTGACAACAACATTGGAGGATGGCTCACTTCATCAACACGTTATCTTCGAAACGATTTTGACAGATTAGTACAGCGAAATTCATTATTTAACACAAGAGCGAATTGGCCGCAACAAAACCTGTTCATCTTCATCTTGTAGAAAACCAGAATCGTGAGGAGCCCCGGGAAGCTTGAAATGCCTCCTACGAAAACCGGCAGCTTGTATTCGAGAGACGTTTGTACCAACCCCGTGCCAATGGCGAAGTTCAGCAGCTGGCCGAAGCAGTTCGCTGAATTGAGGGCCCCCACAAAGACACCGATGTCTTCTTCCTCACCAAACACGTGGATAATCACCGGAGCAACGAGAGTGAACCAAACGGCGTGCGTGATACCTGTCAAGGCAATGACAAAGACGTTAAAGTCAGGATTGCTGGTCCATGCCATGGCCGTGTAAAACACTTGGGGGACAGTTGAGACAGTGAGAACCCACTTGACGCCGATCTTGTGCACCAGTAACGGTAAGGCCCAAGCCCACACGTATTCTACGATGTTGTAGAGAAGGTCAGCACGTCCCCCGGCAACGCTCACGCCACGATTGTAAGCCTCCTGCTCAGCGCTGCATGGGTTACAGCTATCGGCATTTTCCGACACTCCGCCGTAGACTTGTAAGCCGAAGAGCTGACCCTTGTTGCCATTGTAGGCCGTGTAGCCGTACTGGACGAAGAAGAAGGCCACCCAGTAGATCGCAAGCGCTGTAGGGAGCGCGCGGATGCCGTGATATACGGAAGCGAACGCGTGCTTTCTTGACTCGAGCGCACGATGACTCGGCACCCACAGCACTTGGAGGCAGTGGCGTTTCCTTCGCGAAGATCACAGCGACACCCCACACAGATGAACATGGTCACAGATAACATGCCCATGAACCAGTGTAGCGTTTTGTATGCAGCCCCAAAGAACTCGATGTACCCGGCAATTAAAATCGCTCCTAGCGTAGCCCACGCCATGCCGAGAGCTGCCCCCGTTGTCTGTCGATCTCCTGCAAAATCAGCCACGAGAAGCATCGCGGGGTCTGAACAATGTTGACGGTGATGTCCATCCAGAGGTAGAAGAACACTGTGAGAATTGATGTCCACGTGCGGTCAGTCTCCTCTCCGTCAGTAGGGCTGTGAAAATTAAAAAATGTTAGATTAATCTTGGCCTGAAAACATCAAGAATGAATTATTAAGTTAATTGCCAGAATTGCCAGAATTGCGGCGGATTGTAGCTCGAACTTCTTCTACAGTGTACACACTCCACAGTGAACGGTTGCAGTGCAGGAAGACTAGCGTCTCCAGATTGACGCGATCCATACTCTTCCTCACGTCACTAAATATAAGCTTTGCACGTGAAAAAAGTCTCTCGCACTCATTCGATGTAGGCGGTACGTACCCGACGTCGACATACGCACTCCGCTTCGTTGTCTTGAGCCTCTTGAGCGCTTGAGCTGCAAATGACGGACCTTCAGGGCTCTCTTCAGCTTGATCTTCATCAGGGCTGCTGGTAACACGAAACGCCGCACAGGCAGCTCGCTCAGGCGGCGTGAGAGATTGACCTCGCTGGATCTTGACCAGACCGGATTCGAGTGCAGGATAATTGACGATTGCGGCGGTTGGGGACAGTCGGAGTTTCATTTCCGGGTATTTGGAAATAGCGTGGTCGAAAAGGCGCCGAGCGGCGGATAGCGTCAAACTTGTACCTTGAAGAGTCTTAGTAACCTACTCGAAGTTGGTCAAATCAGCAAGTAGTGAAGTGACGCGAATGTTTTCCGAGCGTCTTAACAAAAGCGGCTCCAATTCCGAAGCAGCAACGGTTTCGTCATCTAGTGAGCGCAACACCGGTTCCAGTTTCGTGTAGCGTCGCAGCATCTCGTACGTACTTGACCAGCGTGTATCATTGCGCATAACAGGCGAAAGACTCGTGTGGGTGCGCAGCAGCGCTCTTCCCTTGATCGTACTCAGCTTCTTCATCAGGTTGTGGACTTTATCAATTAGTCCTTCGTCTTGCTTCATGAAGTCCTTCACTGCCAGTGCAAAACGATGGCTAGCGCACCTGATTAGCGGGATAGCTCCAACCCGACGGCCAATACACTGATTTACACTGCAATTGTCACCAACGATGAAGGCTACCGACTCCCATGGCTGCTTGTAGCGGCTCAAGGTGTCCGCGATCAAGTCAAAGAGACTTTGAGCGCTTAAATCACCCTCATCCTCCATTGGGCTAAACGCCAGCAAAATAAACCGGCGTGAGTGGCACTCCAGGTCATCTTGGTAGTCACTCTTTCGGGGGACTTCAATACTGTCCTTATCATCGAAAACAGCGTAGATCGCAATAAAGTGTCGTCCACCACTTGTCCATCCGTCCAGGACGATACCAAACCGCGTAGGCAAAATCTTAACGATGGACGGCACAACGGCGAGCACCATTCCATCCAGATACAGCTTGAGCGTTCTGGCGCAAGTGCGAGGAAGCTTGGCGTTTTGACGAACCATTTCCCGCTCACAAAACGTTAGGGGTAGACAATCCATCACCGTCCACTCAATCCAACGAAACATATCGGTGGTGGCTTGATCAACAAGACGCAGCGACAAAAGGTTCTGTGTCCGAAGTGCAGCTTCGGCGTCGGTTGCGTAGGTAGGGTGGTAGCGCTTGAGATGGTTAATCACATTAGTGTAGCCGTTACCGGACTTGATCGTCTTGAAGCAGCTGTTACAGCTGTACAACCCAGGCGTCTCCTGGGTCGTGAGAGTGCGGACAAGAATGCGAGTTTTGAGGGGCATGGTAGATTGCAGAATGACTAATGTGCTAGTATGGGTGGATGAATGGATTCAGCGTCTTGTTAGCTTCCTTCTCGGCTTTAAAACTACTGGTTCAAGGCTTGAGGTGAGTAGCACAGTAAAAAAAAACAATATTTTTACTGTGTCTGCTACTGTAAAAATTGGGGAAACTTTTAAACTTAAATTTTGTACTACCAATTAATAATTAAATTAAAAAATCTCAATTAGTTGTTTTAATAATTACATTATGAGCACCCCTGACCGTCACCGTGGTCGCCTAGTGCTTCACCCATTTCACGAGTGTAGCCCATGGCGATCCAGCAGATGATACTGAGAGCTCCAGCGACGATGAGGAACGGTCGACGACGTCCCATTTTCATGGTACTTCGATCACTGAAGACACCGACGCTCGGAGCTACCAGCACACCAGCAATTGGGCCGATGAATTGAGTGATCTGGACAGCATACCGTGGAAGCATCGTCGACAGGTAAGGGCCTAGAGCAGCCCATTGAGCTGTCCAGGCCATTTGAATCGCCATTCGGGGCATGGAAATTGCCAGCAGCAGCCAAAGTGAGGGATGAGATGGGACCTTTTTATCGCCATCTTGGAGATTTTCAAGCTTGGGTGAAGCGTGCAGGTCGTAGCCTTGCTCGGAATCTTTCATCTCCGATGGTGGAAGAGCTAGATGGTGCTTGCCTCGGAGAGAGAAGATTGGAAAATGGCCAGCACTGCGAGCACCGTTTGAGTAGGCCTGTTCTTCTTCAACATCAACGCAGAGCCAAGGTACCAAGTCGCGCTGCTACAGGCAGTAGCCTACCGCAGGAATGGATCTGATACTCCCCAATGGATTGTAAAGGCACAAGTTGAAGTGAAACCTCGAGAGCTTTGGTGGTACAGTATCCGCTACGGTCCAAGATTAAAAATGGTTGACCCATTTCGCGATGCGGGAAATTGATCATGATGAGATTCATCAGTCGCCATCTTTACTTTTCTTGACGCGTTAGCCACTGCATCCCAATGGATAATAATTCCTACATGTAGAAAAAAATGGAATTGCAACTAAATTGTATCCAAGCCTCATGACTTTAATCAGTGCAGCAGCTTGTAATGAAAGGTGAATAGTTTTAGGGTCGCTCTCTTTTTGGCATTAAACAAGTGTCTTTGACACGTAGCTTTTGAAGAGACGCATCAAATCCTGAGCCGTCGACACCTCATGGCGTTCTGCTGCGTAGGAAGTCCGCTGGATGAAATGAAGCGGCTGGAGAAGTTGCGTGAGCGAGATCCGGAGTCTGCAGAAAACTTAGTTGCCAACGGGAAGTTGCTCGTCGACTTTGTGCGCAATGGGAATCTGCGAGCATTGCAGTGCGCAGCGGAGCATCTCGGGGAGGTACCGTACTGTAGAATCATTGCGAGGTATCCATCCTTACATCAGCGACTTATGAATCGTTCTTACTCGTTGGTGTCCAGGGTCAAATGCTGATCTTTTATGCCGTGCGGATGTTTCGAGAGGCCTGTGCGGGTAGAAGAATGGATATCCTGCAGTTCATGCTGCTGAACGGCTTCGATCTCCAACAGAGCTACATGAGAGACATCCTACACAGCGTCATCGAGAACGTCGACAGTCCACAAAGTGCGGAGGCTGTGCAGCCACTTATTCGCTTCCTTCTGGATGCTGGTGTCGATGTCAATTGGCAAAGGAAGGCGGATCTCTACACTGCTCTGCATGTTGCATGCTGTAAGAACTTGTACCCCATCGCGTATTTGCTGGTTCTTTATGGCGCCGACGTGAATGCGATTGCTGCGGTAAGTTTTGATAGCTTCAACTGTGGCTAGTTGAGCTTTCCTTTAAGTTGTCTGTCACGTTACCACAGGATGATTCCATGCCACTTGTATGCGCGAACAATATTGGATACTCGACCCCTCTCTCGAAAGGTGACCAGACGCAGAAGGAGCTGCTCGTTTCTTTTCTAATTGATAACCAAGCACGTCGAACCTGGAGAAAGCAAGCACATCGAGTAGATACAAGTACATCGAATGCCATACCTCAAGCACAGCAACGGGTCCTTAGCTTCTCGAGTAGCTTTGGCATTCATTGCAGCATCGATGACTCAACTGACCAAGAACACCAAGCTGGTCTCATGTTTGACACGTCAGACCCAAGTGGTAGTCTATAGTTATCGAGCTCGGAGCAGTTTTACAGATCCTGCAAACCATAAATAGCGACTGCCTCGTTCTGATTATCTGTTATAGTACACAGTGTGCAGCTACGTATCACGGACTGTGGCATTAAAACGATGTCCTGCAGCCTCATTGAGGCCAAGTTCCAGGTGCTGGACCGCACCATTAAGATGCTGTCCAAGTCGAAAAATCTTCGGGCGCCTCGAGTTGCGTCATCTGAGCAGCTCCGCGAGCTTGTGGAAACCAAGCCTGCCTCTCTTCTGCCAACCTTAAAACCTGTTAAAGACGAAATGGTCACGCGATCCAACCAAACTCACGCTAGCATCAAAAGAGGAAGTCGATCGTTGCCGAACACCTCTAGAGAAGAGAGACCAGAGAAGAAACGCGAACAGTGTCCATTACGACCTAGTACTGGAAGGAGGGACCCCCACAACAGCTCGAATGAAATATCCACAGAAAAATGGGTAGATCCGAAGCAAAAGCGTGCAGAACAACTCTTACAGGACACGTGGAATGTAAGTCTATCCGTCCAAAGCCTCCCGACAATATAAAAGCACTTATATTTACTGGAATGGACGTAGGAGATTGAATCTGCAGTAAACTGGGGACGAGAGCTCAGTCGTGAGGTGCATTGTGGTTTATCCGTATGGGATCGCGCGGTTCTGGGCTTATGACCTGAGGTTTGAATAATGTAGGTGCCCCGTTCGAAGTTGTTGTATAACAATTATCGAGACGAGGGTCATGATCAAGACGCAAATCCATCCGAAGAGCGTGTACAAGACCAAAATGTTAGCAACCAAGTTCACGACGAACCAGGTAGGGTGAATTACGTTAGAAATGCCCTCGTTTCGTACAATTTACGATATGTTTCTTTGTATTTCAGAACCTTGTAGTGCTGCCGTACACAATGCACTGCCGCCACCCAAAAGACCATTGACGTCGGCAAGCTCGCATCCAAGGAAAAGTAAAGCTCATTTGAGTACCCGGTGTCGATCTGCATTGCTCTACTGCTCGGATACACAACCGAAGGATTGGTTCGCGCCTTCGATAGCCGAGGCCGCTCCCAAAACGAAGCGCAAGAGCCGTCCCAGGACTGCCATCGGGAAGACCATCAAAGATAATCATAAGAGTGCTGACCCTTCATCCCCCACAGTGGAACCAAGACCGATACCAGTCGAGGCTCAAAGCAAGTCAAAAGACAATTGCAATCTTCCTGTTCCAACCCCCATACCAAAAGCCGACGACCCATCATTCTATATGCTGGAATTGCGACTAGTTCACCCTGAACCTCTGACGAATTGGCGTTTCCAAGCATCTTTCACAGACACCTCGGTGGACCCTTCGAAGACAGTCATACTGGACGATCTTACGGTGATATCCCACTCTGCATTTGCTGTTTGAACGCTCACATCTCATCCTGCTCACTTCTAGGCGGACAACGACAACTGCTTGCTGTTTGATGATCCGAGGTTAGCACATGGCTCAACGTCGTCTCGATTTTTCAATCCGTTCTTGTACTTTCCAGGCCTCAGTCGACCCAGTGACGTGAGTACAATCGATTGGAACTCACTGATCATTGCTGTACTCACTCTCACTCTGCGTGTTTTCCAGTTGTACGGACATGTTTTACGTATTGTCGTGACTTCGCTTCAACCTGTTACACGTATCGTTATCAACACGTCCGTGCAATTCACTCAATTTCCCGACGAGGCGGTTGTGAAGCCACCTGTACAGTCGATCCAACAACACTCGGAAGCTGTAGCTACGCAAAGCACCAACCTGCACGCACCCGCTCGCCGCCATCGATCAGCGTCTTCAGCATCGAGGAGAAGTGTGAAGGGCCTAAAACCTCGAAAGAAGAAGCCATCAAGGCCACCGGCACAAAATAATAAAAACGAAGCCAGTACGAGTAGTTTGGCCATGGACCAATGCAATCCCTGGTCGTCAAGCGAGCAGTACGACATCGATATTGGTGATCGTCGAGACTCTATGCTGGAGCAAATGTTCACGCTGGAACTTGATGAGCCTCGACCGCCGTCTCCCACCACACCCACGAAAGAGAGCCCAACAAATGAGATCGTGAGCTGCTCGCCTCAAACACCCATAGCCACCATCGACAAGAAGAAGATGCAACTACATCACCTGCGCGCAAATATTCGGGTTCGTTAATGCTCTCTGAACTTGTATTATACTTCGGACTATTGCTGCGCTAACTTTTAGGCTCGTGCACAGAGAGAAATGAGCGAGCACAAAGTCAACAACTGCAACATGTAATGCAGCCATCTTCCACGGCAATATTTAGCGTCAACCACATAGATCTGTGTATCAAACACCATCTTCAGAAACCGACGCTGACTGCATTTTCGGAACTTCTGAAGAGTCGAGTTGTGCTTGTCGAGTGCCTCGCAATCTCTCTCACCCCGCGCAACCTACAAGCTTGTAGCGTCTTCCTGTTACTGCTCTCGCATTCGTCTACTCGCGATACGTGCTGCTCCCGTTGAAAGCTCGCAAGAATTTCCCGTATTAAATCGTAAAGACTCGGAACAATGGAAGGTCAAGTGGTGGAGCTCACTGAGGCGGAACAGGCGCAGCACCAGCTGCAGATGGAGCAGCAGCTCAAGTCTTTCTGGGCCAAACAGTTGCTGGAGATGGAGCAGCTCGAAGTCGGCAGCGAACAAGGTACTGTACAGACCAACGAGATGTGTGTCAATATCGGTGACACAAATACTGACCTTGTTATTGTGGGACGTTGTCTTTGTAACTACTGCAGACTTTAAGAACCACAACGATCTGCCGCTCGCGCGCATCAAGCGAATCATGAAGTCAGACGAGGACGTCCGTATGATCAGTGCTGAGGCGCCTGTGCTGTTCGCCAAGGCATGTGAGATGTTCATTCTGGAGCTGACGCTGCGCTCGTGGGGCTACTCCGAAAAGAATAAGCGGCGAACGCTGCAGAAGGAGGATATCCAGACGGCCATCAGGAACACGGACATCTTTGACTTTCTCGTGGACGTCATTAACTAAGGGAACAGCTGAATGTACAGTCGGTCTTGCAAGACGACCACCTCGGACTGAACCTGATAAGAAAAAAATGTTTATCCGACTTGAAGAGGTGGTTTTTAGCGCTGGTGTGATGAAGGGTGCAATCTTCCTATCACTAAGTGATGGCTTCACTAAACTGCATGAACCTTGACATTAGAATTAAAATACTACCTTCGCGCAACATACATTACACGTCATCGATTGTGTAGCCATCTCCACCTTGAAGTTCGATGTTGAGTGTCATTCCGCGATGGGAGCTCTCCGCTTCAAGCTCCAGCTCCTGTATGCGGCAGCAGCAACGCGGCGAATGAGTACCCAGTCTGTCAACATTGAGATGAGCGTAGGTGTCATCGGTTTGGGACAAATGGGCGGACGCATGGCCGACAACATCCGTAAGCACGGCCACAAACTTGTTGTGTGCGACCCCATGCCCGCCAACGTGCAGAGGCAGGTGGACCAGGGCGCTAAGGCCGCCGCCAACGCGCGAGAGGTGGCTGAGCAGTGCGACACCATCATCACCATGCTGCCGTCTACCGCCACTGTCGAGTGCGTCTATCTGGTGAGGACGGCGTGCACGAGGCTCTTCGCAGTGAACACTTGCTGCTGGTCTCGAGTCCGATCGACCCGATCTTCACCAAGAAGCTGAGTAAGGAGCTTCATAACCGTGGAGCCACGTTCGTGGACGCCCCAGTATCTGGAGGCGTGGCAGGAGCTCAGAATGGCACATTGACGCTCATGGTCGGCGGTGAACCTGACGAATTCGAACGCGTTAAGCCACTGTTGAAGGCTATGGGCAAGAACTTGGTGCATTGCGGCGGAAGCTATAGGTTTGCAGATGTTACAGTAGCTGTTATATATTTACGTATCTAATAGCTTTGATTTCTTGCAGCCACCGGTCAGATCGCCAAGCTGTGCAATAACCTTGCAGCCGCAATTCAGCTCACATCAGTCGCAGAGGCGACAAATCTAGGAGTTGCACTTGGCATCGACCCCAGAGTACTGGCAGCGTACGACCAAATGACGGAGCTGTACGCTAGATGATCAGTAAGTTTCTCACTCCGTTACACGTCTTCATTGCGCTGTTTAGGATCATGAATTCTTCCACTTCTCGCTGCTGGTCTTCTACCACGTACGTTGGTAGCCATTTTGCTATCATAGAAAACTATCTAACCATTGAGATGAGGACAGGAGCCACCCTTACCCCGGCATTCTACCTGACATCCCTGCATCCAATGATACGAAGGAGGGTTTGCCGTGCAGCTCATGCGCAAGGATTTAGGCCTCGCTTCGTCGTGCGCCACGAGTGCCGAGGCGTCTGTACCGCTGACGAACTCCGTGCTTCAATTGTTCAACATGATGGTAACCCAAGGCAATGGCCACAAAGACTTTGCCTACATCCTTCCGTTTCTCAAAGGCGGCAACTCGGGAGATAATAAACACTAGTCTATAGGCCTTTCACTTTCCTTGCAAAGTTATTCCACAAGTGGAAAGGGCCTCGACATCTTCCAGTGACGACCATCAAAGTGACGTCACCACATTCAGCTCAAACCTAAACATTACCGAGAAGCGTTAAGCAGACGTGATTCCAACACCCTTCTAACCTCCGCTGCACGACTAACAAGAAAGAAAAGAACAAGAAACTCAGCTTTACAAGCAGCATCATAGCAAAGGAAGAAGAAGCAGCAGGGTACAGGCTGAGTAGGTACAACCCGACCGGGCAAAGCAAGCAAGTCAGGAATGGGTATTCGAGTTTAGGCTGGACACGGCTGGTAACACAATACACCTCACTTATTATTACTAAGAAACTCAGCTGGAACTCACACTGTCAATTATCAACCAAGTGTGCACCGAACACTACGAAAAAGTGCCTTATGCCTTCCTACCTTTGCGCCACGGCTTGAATACTTCAGTATCGCCACCCTCGCTGTTAACGAGTACATGTACGAGGTTATTGCGACTCTGGCGTGCTGCAAATCCGACGCCGAGGCCATGATTGATGCAGCGCTTGCTTTGATGCAGCCCTTAACATTCGTACTTAAGGGGTTTTTCCAACTTGAAGTTACCTCCGTTTCAAGGCCAAAATTTGTGAATCATTCGCCGTTACTTCCGGTATCTGTCAGGCGTCCAAGATCACCATGCTCCGTACGACCTTCCTCCGCTCCTCCCACGCTCTGCGCTCCACTCCGTTGAGTCGGGCGCTGTCCAGCGTGTCTTCCAAGGACCAGGTAGGCGTCATCGGTTTGGGGCAAATGGGCGGACGTATGGCCGACAACCTCCGTAAGAACGGCCACAAACTCGTCGTGTGCGACCCCGTGCCCGCCAACGTGCAGAGGCAGGTGGACCAGGGCGCTAAGGCCGCCGCCAACGCGCGAGAGGTGGCTGAGCAGTGCGACACCATCATCACCATGCTGCCGTCTACCGCCACTGTCGAGTGCGTCTATCTGGGTGAGGACGGCGTGCACGAGGCTCTTCGCAGTGAACACTTGCTGCTGGACTCGAGCACGATCGACCCGATCTTCACCAAGAAGCTGAGCAAAGAGCTTCATGACCGTGGAGCCACGTTCGTGGACGCCCCAGTGTCTGGTGGCGTGGCGGGAGCTCAGAATGGCACATTGACGTTCATGGTGGGAGGTGAACCTGACGAATTCGAACGCGTTAAGCCACTGTTAAAAGCTATGGGCAAGAACTTGGTGCATTGCGGCGGAAGCTGTACGTACTGAAGTCCTCAAGTGGTTTACTACGTAGTACTTAATCGTTGTTCTAACGGGTTTGTTACCGTCATATTCAGCTACGGGCCAGGTTGCCAAGCTGTGCAACAACCTGGCGTTGGCCATTCAGATGGCTTCAGTTGCGGAGGCTATGAACCTCGGCACAACACTAGGCATTGACCCCAAGATCCTCAAGAACATCATGGACACGTCCACGTCCTCGTGCTGGTCCACCCTCGTGTAAGTGGAAGTGGAGAGGCTTTGATAGATAATCAAGACTAACATTATCTATTGTGCTTGTATGGCAGCAACCACCCGTACCCAGGTTTGATGGAGAACGTGCCGGCGTCGAACAACTACGACGGAGGTTTCGCTGTGGGTCTGCACCGCAAGGACCTGGGACTTGCCATGGATTGCGCTAAACACGCCGAAGTGTCGATCCCTCTGACCTGCCAAGTGCACCAGCTCTACAACATGATGGTGGCTGGTGGCTACGGCAAGAAGGACTTCAGCTACATGCTCCAGTACCTTAAGAACGGAAAGTAACTGTTAAGTACGAAAGCGTGCTGCAAGTAGTGTGTCAAGTGACGGGTGCAGTTGAACTTTTACGAAACAAATGACAAACAAGGTGTGAAGGTTTCTTGCAGTAGAATTATTGTCCTAGAGCGGCATCACGTTCCGTCTGCTTGACCATGTCGCCGTCGATCTTGGCAACTTTGGGGATCCGTTTGAGCACGTTGAGTCGGGCGTCTTCCTTGCTCAAATTCTCGTAAATCGGGTTTCCCGTGAATAACACGTCACGCAGTTTGGGTAGACTTGCGAGCTTGTCGAGTTCGTCCCAGCTCTTGATCAAGTTGTTGGATACGTACAGCGTCGTGAGGTTCGTGAGCCCTGAAAGGCCATCCAGCGTTGCAATCACGTTGTACGACAGCCAGAGTTCCTCCAATGTATCGGAGACGTCGTCTAGTTTCTCGATCTTCTTGATCTGATTCCGACCAAGTGACAAAATCCGCAGCTTTTTCATCCCTGAAAGAGGGATTAGGCGATCAATAGCGTTCGTCGACAACGACAGCTGCCTGCGCAATGCAATAACTTTGTTAAGTAAATCGCTACATATCTGTTAAGAACAAGAAAGAAAGCGTACTCGCAGTTCTTCAGCGTGTTGAGCGAGTTGTCGAGCTTTGCGATCGGAGGCATCTGGCAATAGAGCTTGATCACAGACGACTCTTCCGCTGACGCCGAGTTCTTGGCCTCCCACGCCTTAATCGCTTGTGCACATGTAGTCTACACCCGGAGAAGTCAGTGAACTGACACGTCTTTTTTGTCTTATTGTCATGAACCTACCATTGCGTCTACGTCGTAGCTGTTCGAAATGTCTAGTGACAAGAGGATCGCGTCTTTCGGGTCGCGACGTTTCAAGGCGCGTCGGCGCTTAACATTCTCGAGAAAGAATAATTGCTATCGTCTTTATCGCGATTGGGATGCTGCAGACGAAACGAAGCCTTGACGATTGGGGGCTCCAAATTGGCCTTGGCAGCTTTCCATCTCGCCTGACCTGCTTCCTGTAACTGGGTGTGGTATTCCGTGCGTTCAAAGTGGTAGATCAAGCTCTTCATCCGCTTGTCAAGTGTGGTCAGAATGGGCAGCACTTGAGCGATTGGGGCGTTGATTTTCCTGCACAACATCTCCAGCACACGCTCGTACGCTGGATGCAGTGCACTTCGATACGAGTGTTCGCTATAGACTGGGTAAAAGAACGCGTCCATCTTCTTCCTTTCGTCGGATCCTCGAGCTCGTAAGCGCTTCATACGCTCCTCGATTTCCTTATCACTCTCAGCCAAGACTCCATCTACGTGCACAGCTGGATACGCGTAGAGATCGTTGGTCTTGAGACTCTCGCTCTGATCTCCTGCTGCGTCATCAGACTTCTGGATGCGTTCTAGCTGCTCAAAGTGCATCTGGAGCTCTTCAGGGACGGCAGATTTATCCGGATCAACGAAAACCTGCTTGGCAAACCGCGTAAATGAATCGAGAGCACGTCGTGGCAGCAGATGCGCGTCGTGTACTGCTGCAACGGGTGGGGCGTCGTATCGACTTTCCTCGTCATTATCTTTCGTTTCTTCGTCTTGTTTGTGACTCCGTTCGTAGATCCACTCGTGCCAATTGGCGCACATTTTGATTGCCACTATCAAGTGCGCTACAATCCCCACTTCAGACTCGAGAATAGCATCGACTCTGGCTCTGTCTTGCTTCGTGTGTGTTAGATTAAATCTGGGATAGCCATCCACCTCGGCTTGTAGCATCAGTGGCAGCTCGGTCATTTCTCCGTCCACATTCATAAAGCCAGTAATCCATTGAAAATTGCGATACACTTCAGCGGGAAAACCCATTGTAGCGCAGATGCGATGAGCTGCCAGGGGTACATTTAGCGGAGGCAGACGTAAGCCCATGTGGTACTGGAGATGGTGGGCAGAGTAGGCGATATGGACGGCAGTCGCTCTGTGTCGCAGCATCAAAGACTGGAAGAAACCAACAACGAACTTGACAGAGTCGCGCACATCCGGAACGTCCGCACAGCACGCGGCCAGCGAGTTGTGGTATGGGATCACTCCCGTAGCGACCCATTCCGCGAAGTCACTTGGCAGTAAACCCAGGTTCAGCACACGAGAGGCGAGCATCAAGATGCCCACTAGGTCTACGAGGGAGAACATGTTGAGCTCGTCGAACTTGCGACGTCTGAGTTGGACTCTCTTGCGAGGCTTACTGCCAGCAATCTTCTCGTTCTTTTGTGGTTCTTTAGGTTTATCTTCTTCCTCTTTCTCTTCTTCTTGTTCGTTTTTCTTCTCCCACTCTGCGTCCCATTGCTCCAACAAGTCAAACGTTGCAGCTGGATCCATGCTCTTCTCTTCCTCTTTCGAATAGAACAGGAAGAACTCGTTATAACAGCGTAACAACGGCTTGGTGCCTTTAACGCCCCAGGTTTTCAAGAATTTGAACCATAACTCCTTCACTGCCTTGGGGTATTCGTCAGCAGGGAACGTGTCGGTCCCCACACGCTCAATGAGCGCTCGAGCCATGGAGTCCAGTACCATCTGCGTGGCGATCACACAGTCCAGTAGCTCTGGCAGCTTCGACTTCTCTTTCTCCTTCTCCTTCTTCTTCAAGCGCGTCTTACTCTCTTCATCGCCAAAAGCTTCGCCAGCATTTCGCTTCTTCTTGCGCACTACACGGCGCTTGAGTGTCCTCAGAACATTTGTAATGTCCATTCCCATGTCTTCGGCTTCCTGCGTCTCGTTACGAGCTTGGAGGAAACTTTGCGTGCCGCACAGCTCACACACCATCTCGCCGAAGTAGTTTTCGCTGAAGAACGAGTCGCCCACTGCGCCGCAGTTCTGGCATTCCAACATGACGCCGAGCAGCTTTGTTCCACTGGTTCGTGTTTGTATTAAACTAATAAAAGCTACCGGTACTTTTAGATAATTTGTAGTGCTCGAAAATTTATTGGCTAAACAATGATATCCATGTAGAGCTGTACTACTATTTATAGTAGTACATGTACATGTACAATAAAAGCAGCAGCAAGTATTACATGTAGAAAAAGCTCTGTAGTACTGTAGTACTAATATTAGTACAGAACCAGTGTTTTCGTAGTAACGTTACCGGCACAGTGTGGCACCTATGCCTTCTGAAAGTACCGTAGATGACACAAAACACACAACGCCAAAATTCATCAGTTTTTGACAATTTTTTCGATTCTGCGTGTCAGCTACGGTAATGTGGGAGTAGCTCGTTGAGGATATCACATTCATTTAGAAGCGGGTATTTACCTACTGCTATGTAGGCAAGCTTACAGCTTGTTCATGGAGGCAACGTCCACCGACTGCACGTAGTCCTCGAAGCCCTCGATGGCGTCCGTGATGTCGTCAAGCAGCACCAGGTCGTCGATGATGACGCACTGCACCAGCAGCTTCTTGATTCCGAAGGCCACCGGCACCAGCTTGTGTCCCTCGCCCCAGGTCAGTCCCTCGACCGGCAGAGCCTTGATCTTAACCGCCAGCTCCTCGAGGTCGGTCTCAGCCTCCCACGGCTTGACCTCAATCACGACCTGCGAGCGCTCCACGGGCTTCTTCTTCTCCTTCTTGGCGGCCTTGGCGGCCTCAGCGCGCTTAGCAGCAAGAGCCTTAGCAGCCTCGTCTTCCTCCTCGTCATCGTCGTCACCGAACAGGTCGTCGTCATCATCGTCGTCCTCCTCGACCTTCTTGGGGGCCGGGGCGGCCTTCTTGGAAGCCTCCTTCTTGGCCGGGGCCGCCTTCTTGGCACCCGCAATGGGCTTCATGGGCTTAGCGCCCTTAGTGGGGTGCAGCACCGAGAACTTGGCGGTCTGCACCAGCTGGAACTTGCTCATGTCGGTCGGCATCGTGACGGGAAGATGTGGGAGATAGAGAGTCGATTCACTACTGAGGAGCCGAACGATTCGATTGGATCGGGCGTGACCATCCGTTTCGAGTGTGATATTCTGAGATGGAATATTTGCATTACGGTGTGAAGAAAAATAACAGTAGGACTCCGCGAACATGACGACGGAGCTACAGCAAGTGCTGGAGGCGTATCGCGCCATGGAGCCGGTGAAGGACGTCATTCACATGATCAAGACGCAATTCGCGACGGATCAACACTGGGCGTCGCTCGAATTCCAGGTCAGAATTTTCGCAGTAGAAATAAAAGTTGAATTCAAGGACCGACAAAGCGAGTTGCTGCTATGCAGGCTCAGGTGCTGCAGGTGGTGGTGAAGGACCCTGTTTGTGACGACTTTGCACCATTGAGGAGATACACGTACAGGTTCCTCAAGAGTTTTGTGGATGGTAAGGCGACGTTTCCAGAATGTCAAATTCCCCATTAGAGGAGACCGTTAACATAAACTTTCCACGACCTGATGCAGAGATTGAAGCGGTGTATGCGGGTGTGGATGACGGACTTGTGGAGGCTCTGATGGAGTTCGTGCTGAACGCTAAGCTCGCTGACGACGCGCTCAATTCGGAAGCCATGCACCACGTTTCCTACACAGTCCCTACGGCCGATTCCTCCGTCGTCGTGACTTGTCGAGTGGCTTCGGTGTTCAATGAGGTGGGACTCAAACTTTGGGAAGCTGGTTGGCTACTCGCCGAGTACGTCATCGCTCACAAAAGCGAATTCCACGGTAGGAACGTGCTGGAGCTGGGGGCTGGGGTGGGCTTCACCGGTATAGCTCTAGCCTGTGTGTGTCGCTCCAGTCGCGTGGTGCTCACAGACTACGCGCCGAACGTGATGCAGAATCTGCGCTACAACGTCGAAGTCAACTCGACCAAGTTCATTTGTCCAGTTGAGGTGCAGACGCTGGACTGGGACACATGGCAGCCAACTGAGTACGAAGACGATCGGCCCGATGTCTTGCTCGCAGGAGACTGCGCCTACGACGTAGAAGCCTTTCCGCCGTTAATGCACGTGCTCCAGTCCTTCCTTGGCAACGACCAAGGCAGCACGAACCACAATCCGCAGCGAGTGGCGATCTTCGCTGCCACTATTCGTAGCCAGAAGACGTTCCAAAAATTCCTTGACCAACTGGCAGCGCATCGTATTGACTACCTCGATATCACGACGTCATCGCTAGAGAAAATGGGGAACCAGCTTTTCCCATATCCGAATCGGGACCAAATTCGGATCTGCCGCTTGTCGAGAACGATTAAGGAGTGTAAGAAGCAATAGAAGATTTTTATTTTAACGTTATTTTTTCTCTATTATGTGCTACATGGAGTTCATCTTGACTCTAAAGAAGAATATACAGACGAGAAATGCCAGCAAACTTACAGCGCCGCCTACGAACACTGGCAATCGGAACCCTAGAGATGTTTCCACTAGAGCAGAACCGACGATGAAGTTGAGTAGTTGACCCGAAGAGGTCACAGAAGTTAACACGCCTACGTACACACCGATGTCGTTAGAGTCGTTTTGTACGTGCACAATGAGTGGGCGAAAAATGTGCCAAAATGATGGGGCTAGCTAATCCAAAATAAATTATTATCTTTGGATAATCGGCGATAACTTCACCAAAATAGCCTTAAATTAAGTGCAAAGGGCGCGGATAGAAAGCTGAGGTTTCGTAGTTCCTTCTTCCATAAATTAAGACTCTTCATCTCTTTCATTTCAGGAAGTGCAATGCAACGCAGACACCAGCTCAGTCCGGACGAGAAAACCCTAGTTTGCAATGTATATGATTATTTCGTCGCCGAGGCCAAAGCAGGCAGAAGTGGAGGGCGGGACTCGCGCGATCGAACTAAAGAGGCGACGCGCCTTGGGAAAAGCACAGTTTTTCGGGTGCTCTGGGCATGGAACCTGACCCAGACACCAATTTCGCCGAGGTGCGCTTGTCATTTTGGCCTATGTAGGGTTAAAACCGCTCTGTCGTGATATCATATGAAAATCTTATAATTTAATGCTTTCGCTAGTAGAAGGTACCATTCAGCACGAGGTCGCAAGAAGCTCATGAGGAAGATGGTGAGTAATTACTCTTTAAATTTATACAAATCCTTCTTTTTAAATTTAACCGTTTTATTTTTAACGCCTGTTTGTACAACTTTCCACACTCTTGACCAATAGACTATCAGCATTATAGCAACTGTTTCCCCGTTTAAAGGTCCTCGGAGACACCTTTTTGGGGAGCCTGTAGCGACAAAACTACTGCGAATTAGCCGGTTTTAACACCAAAACCATACTCAAAATGGGCGGTTTTATCACATATATAAATGTCATATCTGGTTTTATCAAAATTGAGCACCCCATGGGGATTTGATTACTAGCCCCTTCATTTTCTGCCGCTACAATAGTCACGTCCAGCATAAGGACATCGCAGAACGCCATAGCCATCAGCAACATTTGAGGAATTACCGCGAAGGTTGCAACGAGCTGGACGCCACAGCGACGCACGAGTGGAGGGAGAACCCACGAGTACACGTACCCGACCACGCAGAAGAGTATATCTGCCACGCCTCCAGCAAGTCGCACGCCACGGTTGTAGTCTCGTTGTTCCTCTGAGCACTCCTCGTCACACGTGGCGGCATTGATCGCGTCTCCGTCAAAGACCTCGATGCCGAAGAACATCCCTTTGTTGCCATTATAAGCTGCATAGGCGTACTGGATGAAGAAGAGCACGATACAGTACACCACTAGCACTTTAGGTAGTGTTCGCACGGCACTGAGTATTGAGCCAAAGGCACTGGTTACGTTCTGGCAGCAGCTCTGCTTCTCCATCGACTTCTCCAGCGGTGACTCCTTTGCCACATAACACGCTGCTCCAATGCTGACGGCCATGACAATGGATAGCATCCCCATGAACCAGCCCAACGAGTTGTAAGCTGCACCGAAGCATTCCGTGTACACAGCCACTAGAACAGCTCCAAGAACTGACCATCCTTGACCAAGTGCAGCTCCGACGGTCTGATGTTGGCCTGCAAAGTCGGAAATCAGTAACATTGCAGGCGCACGCGAGAGGTGGATCATAAATCCCGTCCAGAAGTAGAAGAGTACAGTGAGCAGAGCTGTCCACGTGCGGTCCGTGAATTCTCCAGGTTTTCCAGACATACGTCACCAAAGGCATCTCCCAATTCTCTTGTGTAGCTCATGAGGACCCAGTAGATAATGCTCCCGACTGCAGCAGTGACAAGATAAGGCCGACGACGTCCAAAACACGACGTGTTTCGGTCCGAGTAGGCTCCAACGATGGGCCCCACCAAGACCCCACAAAGGGGGCCGCTAAGTTGAGTCAATTGCACAGCGTAGCGAGGAAGCATCGTCTGTAAATATGGACCGAGTGCAGCCCATTGCGCCGCCGATGCCATTCGGATGGCCATGCGGGGCATGGAAATGATAAGCAATTCTTTAACCCCTTTATTACCGCGAATTCAGGCCACGAACCGCCTTATTTTACGTCGTAACTTACAGCATACAATTATCTCGGAGTTTGTATTAGTCTGTCTTTTCCACTTGTCTAATCATTAAGATGGGACTATAAGTTATACAGAGGTTTCCGATTTTTACGTCGTAACACTGACGACGTACTTCAGCATCGCTGACTAACAAGTACACAGATACAACTTAGCCGATCATGTGATCGGGATCACAATCCACAAACACAGTTATAAACGGAACTACACAGCACAGCAATCATATGAAACTCAACAAAATGCATTAGTAGCATTGCTAAAAACCGTACGGGAGGCTCACTAGCTCTCTTCTTTCTCCTCAGACAAGATTTCTCGACGTGTCTTCTTTCGCACTCCGGCGGCCTTGGGGGCACGGCGCAGAACGACACGCTTACCTAGGTGACTCGGAATTGACGCGCCACATTCGAAGTCGTCGTGCCACACTTGAAAACACGTTGTATCCGTGCCTCTGCGCGCCTTGGGACAGAGGAAGCACTTTGCATCACCCTGCGAGCAGTCTTCACAGTAGTAAGTAGTCTGGTAGCTCTTCTTCTGCTCACCTCGATAGAGGGAGCACACCTTGCAAGAGCGCTGGCGCCGCTTCTGAACGCCCGATACAATCACCCAATCATCAAGCTGCTTGTGTACGTGGGAAGCGTTGCGGCGGCGCTTTGGCGCGCTTGGAGACGGTGATGGCGCTGCTGTTTTGAAGTCTTCGTCCGTGAGCTGCGTGAGCTGCTTGTGCAGCAACTTGTACCAGTCCACGCGCTTCATTGGGGCGACGCCGTCGAGGCGACAGGCCTCCTTGTGTGTGATGTATGCGTTTACAAGCGCTAAGTCAAACAGACCTAAGAATAGACCCTTATAGTACTTTCGGAACCTGAAAGAAGTCTGGACGGAGAACGTTTGAAGGCGGAGTTGATCATGCACATCAACTCCGCCCATCCAGCGCTGGTAATCGGTCACCAGTTTGGGACAGCTGAACGTCGACTGCCCCACCGTCTTCAGGTTTCTCTTGATGGTATCTTCGGCCATTGACACCCCAGTGGCCAGGTAGTGCACAGGCTTGCGGTCCCACCAGTGGCATGCAACCATGGTGGGCACCGCAACCGACCTTGAGTACGTGAATGACCCGCGCTCTACTGTGGTTGGTCGTGTTTTCCTTCGCTCAACGACGTGCTTGTCGAATCCCAGCCTTGACGTCATGATTGTTCCAATCATGTAGACCGACATCGAAAGTAGTTGAATGGCGAGAGCAACGGAGGTGTAGAATCTGTCGACAACAATGACACGAAATCCGGGGTCGTTCTCATCCAACACAGCCTTCAAATTTCGAATTACAGCGGCTGCTCCTGTCTTGTGGTCAAACGCCTGACTTGCACTTTCATGGTTTTGACGCTTCCCTACATATATCTCGAATCTAAAGTCGTAAGTGACAACATAATGCAAATGTCAGACCATCAAGTCATAACTTACGACTTTGCAACATTTATAAAAAAAAATACGCACCTGTGGCAGTAAGCAGACACTGCGTCGCACGTCATAAACATCTTGGTGCCATAACGGTGCGGCTTGTCCGGCATAAACATACGGGTACTGTTACGCTTGGACGTTTGAGGAAGTACACCTTCGTCGAAAGAGATGATTGCAGCCACTATCCACGCAGCTAGGAATGTCATTTGAAGTACGTCAACAACAGCTCGCAGTTTCCACAACTTGTCTCTCTTGTCAGCTGTGTCATTGTTGCAGAAATGTAGATCTCGTAGGATAGAAGTACAGCGATTTCGAGAAATGAAATTGCCAAACCGTCCCGCCGAAAGCGCGCCATCATCGGTCATAGCCCAGTGATCTGAAAACGGACGGGTAGGGCTGAGCATATGAGCTACAAGTAGACCCATGACACAAAGAATCTCGCGCGGTACGTAATCAGGTTCGACTCGTATGCGGCGGCGAACATCCCGTAGCGTTTGACCTGGTACGCTGCGTCCTTCACGAACGAGACGTGCACGCTCTTGGCGCGCCTTTTCCTCGAGGTGTGACCTTTTGTATCTGTTTGTCTCGCTCGTGATGAATGTCCACAGGTTCACCGGCATAAAATAGAATAGCAATTCCAATGGAGAATCCTTTTTAGCACGAAGTGCTTCCACAGGCCTAGCCGCTTGATCCTTCATATCTTTGAACGCGCTATTGTCGGTTTCATACTCGGAGGATGCAGGAGTCCACGCCATCGAACGAAGTGTAATCTGGTTCATGTCTTCGATAGATAGAGAACCCCCCAAGCAATCAATAAATGCTGCATCCATAAGAGGCGCCTCTTCTTCGTCAGATGACACGTCGTCACCAATTTGTCTTTGAACAATATCACTATCATCATCTGATCCAAAGCCATCCGACTCCGAGTCCATGCTCTCATACTCGTCTGCATTGTCCTCGTCCTTCATGATGTTCACGTCCTCTTGTAGCAAGCCACGATTTTCTCTCGAGTTTGTTCGCTCATCGTTTCGTCTCGAGTTTGTTGGTGTCACAGGCTCGACAACAGCACCATTTTGACCGGCGCATAGTGACAGCGCTACATCAGGTTCATCACCGCTCATAGCTCCACAAAATATCTCGTCTATGGTGTTTGCTGCAAGCGCAATACTTGTGTCTATCTGTGACGCCCTTGAGCTCTCATCCTCTATGTGCGGACTTGTGGCGCATAGCGGAAGTTCTGCAGGTGTCTCGCTGTCCTCGCTATCGGATCCAAACAATGCTTCAACGGTGTTCGCTGAGAGAGCAACACTCGTGTCTATCTGAGACGGTGTTACCCTCTCACACTCTGCAGGAACTTCTGGCTCACCTTCTTCACTCTCGTCGTCTCTGTCGTCGCCTGCACCTCCCTCGTCAGCGCCAATGATGCCCTGTTCAAACGCATACTTTACTACCGCATTCCTTCGCATACACAGCACAGAGCACGTATTAGACACACTCACAATAGACTAACCACATCAGACTTACCGACAAACATGTTCACGCCCTCGATGTGTAGCTCCTTTGCAGCGTTCGGTGGGTAGTACGAGTGCAAATTGGACAGCCGCGTTGGCCTCTTTGACGTCCATCCGACACGCACGAGCTGACGCCATAGATGACCAAAATCCACATCTCGCACGTCGATTCCTGAGAGCGCCTCTGCTTGAGCTTTTGACCGCTTGCTTGTTCTGACCGGCATCTTTGCTTGAGCCCGCAAATTCTGTACTGGTGGAGAACATCCACCGTCCACCAAACGTACGGTCCCCAGATAGTGGGACAGTGAATCCACCTACAGCCTTTTTCTCCCCTGTCGCCCACTACCTTTCCAAGCTTATATTTTTTTTGCAGAGAAACAGACTTGATTAAAGTATGTGATCGTCGCATCTGAGCCATTTCCTGTTTATCTTGACAGTTAAGTCGTAACTTACGACTTAAGGTTTTCACTACGTCGTAAGTTACGACGTTGGTAACCAAGGGGTTAAATGAGGCCCCTTGAGGAGGAATTTCTTCGTCTCCTAGCGTGTATGACTTGTAACCATCTCGGGGCGTCTCCGGTGTCGCGAGGGAGTCAAATTTGCTGCGGGGGGTCCCCATATCGGTGTCTTTGAGCGACCTGATCCTCATTGTTAAGTCTTGTTGAGCGTGCAACAGCTTGTAGGGAAATTGAGGAATGATAACGATAACTTACGAAGCGCGAGTCACCTCTCAGAGAGCGAGTACTGTATGTACCGTCTGGTCGACAACTGTTATGATTTGGGATCGCTTAGGATCTGCTCTGGAATTCTATTGTCAAAAACTGAGCGTCAAGATCAAGCATATTACTATGTACATGTTTGCTCTATTAATTCGAATGGCGTTACAGCAACCGTAATACAACACTACGACAAGAATTAGAGCAACCTTATCGCCTAAAGCAACCCTGTTCCTGGGTAATTTATTTTAAATGACACCAGCGTCAGTTTAAATAACGGGACCTTCACTCTAGATTTAGAGTTCAAATTCACACGTCACAAACATATTACACAAAACTGTGTGACCCACATCGTGAGCACGTTGTGATTTTCAGGTGCACCAGAACAACAGACCCACTCCAAGGATGGACGAGAGAAGTCTAGCCCGGGAGCTGCTACGCGCGAGGATTAACGAGCTCGCGGACTTGAAGTCAAAGCTGAAGAGTATGACCACAAGCCTGGAACAGCTATTAAGACTTCAACAGGACTTTCAGTCGCGAGTTGAAGAAAGCGAAGGGCGCAATTATGAGCTGGCAACAACGTAAGATGGCGAAGATAATGCTCCAAATGCCCATGACGTGATGACATACGAGGTTCTGCTCGAGATCGTCATTAACAGACTGCAGCGCTAGTGTAACAGGTCAGGAAAAAAACTATGACAGGCTGTATTAGGTCATCAACAGTTTCGAGTCATACTACCTATTTGAGCTCGTCTTCTAGCTTTTGTTGAATCTCCTTCGCCATAAGTGCATCGGAGCTGTTCACAATATTCTCTTTATTGAGGTTCATGATAACCCACAGCATCCTCAACCGCATTACCTTGATGTCATGACTGGATACCCCGTAGTTCTGCTGCTCCACATTCCTAGTGAGATAGTTATGAGCTTGTGCGACTACTAAGACACCACAACTAGATCTGTCAGGTTGCTGTGGGGTTTCAATCCATTCAATCGGATCTATAATCATCTTCCTTTCGACCATCGAGGCCTTATGCCACCGTAGCACAAACCCACGAAGGCCTTCTCTTTCTTCACTGCTCTCGTCATTTTGATTTTTTGGTATTCCTACCCAGACTTTCTCCAAATCGCTGCGATACCCTTCATCAATCAGAGGCTCGTACATGTAGACGTGTAGCCGCGTCATGTTTTTTGTAGTTTTCAGACTGATGATAATAATGCCCCAGTGGTTCGCTTTCAAATTTACAGGATTGACGATGAACTTGACTTCTCCAATTGAAGTACGCGGTGTGGTAGGCCACCCCATGGCCCACGTAAGTGATGACAATCCAAATGCACCCTCAACCGAAGATATCATTGTTTCGAGGCAGAAATCAATCGGGCTATCATTCAGCCATCCACGACAAACGCCACCCACTATGTTTTCAAAGCTGATCAGACCTTGGCCCGAACGTGTCCTAAATTCGGTACGCAGCCGAGAAAAAGCGAATTTTGAAATCACCTCGTTTGCTAGAGCTTGGTGGCGATCGCAGACATCATTCGCTGACAGTCCACAAATGTTCGCTTGCCGAGCGAAAAGATCAACATCCGACTTGACTTTTCTCCAATCCTGCTCTAGCCACTTGCGGTCTTTAAACCACGCTCTTCCCTTCGCCTTGATGTCGTAGAAAACCGCTGAAGCATGGATATACCGGCTAGAAGCAACGTGGTAGAGCAACCATAATCAGTAAAGCAACCCTACTATAACAACCGTACTCATAAAGCAACCCTACTACAGCAACCGCGAAACTAAAGCAACCTTACCCGCTGAACTTCCAAAGCTTTGGATCGATAGACGCAACAACGTCAAGGACAATTCCGTGTTTTTTCACGCTGTCATCCAGTGCATCATGTTGTCGCTGCTCGCTTCTTGTAGTTGTAATCGCAGCCTGCATTGAACGCGTGAGATCAGCCGGAATCACGAAGTTGTGCATGTACTTAGACGGCAGGATTGCTTCCCATTGGCAGTCGATTGTACGGGACCTCAGATAGGCATCGTCCAGTTGAATAGGGTACTTCTCCATTATCTCGAGCACATATTTAAGATCGGGAGTGTATCGCGTCCACATGATGAGGTGATGCAATGGCACAGTACACTTTGCAGCCTACGCATCTCAAACAGAAAAGAATTAGCACCATACCATCGTTAGGCTAATACAATTTTCCCCCACGCACCGATGCGATCATTCAGGAAATTGGTAATGTGCGCAGAGGACACGCGGGCATCAGCCAAAGTCGTCACGTCCTCAAGATCTCGGTCATCCAGAGGTAGCGTCTTTGTTGTGAGATACGATGAAGCTTCAGTCTGGGAGGTGGGGTGCGTATGCGTGTGGTTCTTAACATCAAGTCCATGAGAAAGTTAGATTATAAGGCAAACAGATTGGCGAACGTCGCTTTTACTCGTACCTCGTTTCGTATGACAATCGCATACGTGTTGCTCACAACTCGTGATACTGCGGCAGTTAACCGCGCTTGGCACCCGCAGTATCGTGATTTGCGGTTACGATGGCCCTTAGATCGAGATTCTTGTGAAACACCATGTGTACAGCGGTAGGTTTTGTACGTCCACTCAAAAGCAGTAGGCATTTGATCATCATGCACCCTGTAAATTAACAAGAAACACAATCACGCTCAATACAAAATGCCAAAGATAGAATTAACAAATACAAATAACAATTGCGTACTTGTTGTAAAGATCCGTCTTTTCAGAGCTCCGCACACGAAACTTCAGGTTGTACTTCGCCTTGTACTTCTTGAATTCACGCTCAAACACACTTCACGACTCCAGTGGACCAGACGGAAATGGCGGTACACTATTCTTAATTTTGCTTCGTTCACCAACCAGTAGCTGCACCTCTTCTAGGTGCGCACTCGCACGCATCCGTGGATCGTACTCACCAACGTTTTCATCATACCCGCTATCCCCTCCGTTGAATGGTTCGTACAACGTGTCCTTCTTTTGTTGCTTTGGTAATGGCCCATCATCTTTTAACAATAAAGACAGACATGCGAGTTATTATCAATCAGCAAAAGTATTTTAAGCAACATTATCGGAATGTGCGTACGCTGTGTGTCGGTCGCGCGTTTCTGGTTGCCCTGTCTTGGCTGGGTATCGATCGTGCGCGTCGACTTCGACACACTTTCGGCATTGCGATTCTGTTTCTGGTGTTTCCGTCGTTGGGGGAGCTACACGTGATATAGATAGAAAACGAGTTGAACGTTAATCAAGTGCACGTGACAAATTACGAATCCGAACGTCTTACCGGCTTTTTGCGTGATTTCAGCGTCAGACACCGAGAAGGGGAGATCTTCTTCTTCTTCTTCATTGTCTTCCTCCATGTAGTCCAGGACGAAGTCTTCATCGCTGTCGTCATCCTTCTCAATGCCCAGCGTCACCAGCATGTAGTTCAGGCTGTGCTTGCTTTGATCACGCAACGTGCGCCCTGGTGCACGCATACACGCACATTGTAAGTACCTCTGCATACATCAGTCACCGCAACATGAACTGCAATATTAATGAAGGGGTAACGTACCAGTCACATGAGTCTCCTGCATTAGATTCACGCCGCTCCTTGCCGTCGTAGAACTCGGCCCCCGCTTGCTTCTAATGCCCGCCGCTTTGGAAATGAGCGGCTCGAGTCGTTCGAACTTAAGACGTTTGAAAAGTACGTAAATTTAAATTACGCCTGGTAATTTAAAAAACGCTTAAAGCAACCATAAATCTCTATAGCGACCCAACATGTCTCAGATTTACGGTTGCCGTAACGACTCCGGGCTCTGTGCCCATGTGTAGCATGGTAAGCTTCATTCGATGATTGCAAGTACTTAGTTAACTGTCGTGACTGCTGCAGTGTGACGTACAGCTGGACAGAATTATGTAGCTAGAAAACAGGATAACTCCGAAATACACAATCTCTGAAAGAAACGTGAATGTAGGCAAGGTGTTTGCGAAATGCCAAATTATTAAATGGAATTTATCTTGATCCTCAAGAAGAAAACGCAGACGAGGAAAGCCAGCAAACTGACAGCGCCACCCACAAAAATCGGTAATCGATAGCCCATCGAGGTTTCCACTAGTACCGAGCCGACAATGAAGTTTAGCAACTGCCCGGATGATATAGCGGAGCCTACAACACCTACATATACACCAATGTCGGCGGTGTGACCAAATATGTGATCGGCACTATCAGTGCGAAGAACGTGCTGATAGTGATGGACGTGAGAGCCACAATGATCACATCCAGTGCCACAACGTCGCAGAATGCCATGAACATCAGCAACACCTGAGGAATTGTTGCAAGTGTTGCAATCTTTTGAGCTCCAAAGCGACGCACCAGCGGAGGAAGAACCCACGAGTACAGGTATCCGACGATACAAAAGAGCATATCAGCGAGGCCCTCAGCGAGTCGAACACCTCGGTTATAGTCCAGCTGTTCCTCCGAGCACTCGTTGCCACAAGTCGCAGAGTTGGTCGCGTCTCCATTGAAGACCTCGAGACCGAAGAACATTCCTTTGTTGCCGTTGTAGGCTGTGAAGGCGTACTGATTCAGGAAAATCACAGTGCAATACACCGCCAGCACACCTGGCAGCGTCTTGACTGCACCGTAGATCGAGCCAAAGGCGAAGGTCACATTCTTACAGCAACTTCGCTTGTCCATCGTCTGTTTATCCAGTGGGATCTCTTTGGCCACGTAGCATGACGCTCCAACACAAACTGCCATAAAGACTGACAGCATTCCCAAGAACCAGTGCATTGAGTTGTACGCGGCTCCAAAGAATTCTGTGTATGCAGCCACCACAATCGCGCCCAGTGTCGACCATCCGTGGCCCATTGCTGACCCGAGGGTCTGCCGTCTACCAGCAAAGTCCGATATCAACAGTAGCGCTGGGATGAGCGAGATGTGGATAGCAATCTCCATCCCAAGGTAGAAGACCACGGTGAGTAGAGCAGTCCATTTGCGATCTGTCACTTCACCAGGTTTTCCAGATCCGACATCACCCAGCGCGTCTCCCAACTCTCGTGTGAAGCCCATAAGCACCCAGCAGATAATACTCCCGACTGCCGATACAACAAGGTACGGGCGACGACGTCCAAATCTCGAAGTGCTTTGGTCCGAGTACACCCCGACAATTGGTGACATCAACACGCCTAGAAGCGGTCCACTGAGTTGTGTCAACTGTACGGCGTAGCGAGGTAGCATTGTCCGTAAGTAAGGTCCAAATGCCGCCCATTGCGCCGCCAGCGCCATTCGGATGGCCAAACGGGGCATCGAAATGATGAGTAGTTCTCCGAACGAAGCTCCTTGACGGGGTAGTTCGTCTTTCCTCAGCATGGACGACTTGAAACCATCTTTGGGCGTCTCGGGCGTTTCGCGAGAGAGTCAAATCTATTGCGGGAGGTACCAATCTCAATGTCTTGGAGCGCCCTGGTTGTCATCGGTCTTTGGCGGTTTAAAAGGAATTTGTAAAATGATAATGCTTACTAAGACGGGATGCAGTAAGGTATGAGAAAGCACCAATATGTCTACGTGTTTCGTGGCTTCGTTTCTCCTCGACAAAGAACTGAGCAACATATTGTTTTTCAAGGTACATGTGTCTTCTTACCTAACGTCTATATTTGAGGGAGAGAATTCAATTGTGGGTACAGTGTATCACTATCGATGAATAGCCCCCATCCACCATGTTTGGTATAACCTCAACGCATATTCAGCTTTTCACCGTGTGTTTACAGGTATTATAGTACACATATCCCCACCACGAAAACGACATAAGTGCGAGGGCTCAAATTGCCATAATTGATAGTGTGACGGGGTCACACAGCACCTTGCGCTAGAGGAAGTTATCTTCCGAGAGTATACAAACTCTCAGTGAACGGCAGTTCACAGGTCCCCTCTTTAATTAAAGAGAGCGAAGTGACCTAAATAAGGTAGATTGTAAACTGAGTATATTTATAGGTAGGTTAAGTTTGAGGTTAATACAAACTATCAGTTACCTATCGAAATGCAATGTCATTTAACCAATGGTTGGTTTTGAATGACCTTGGTACCTTGTACCAAATATCCCGGAGTATGACATGTCATACTCCTGAAGTGTGAAGTATCACACTTCATGTAACCAGGGTACACTTAGTGCTACGTACCCCGTTACATCCTCCCCCACTTAGGTTCGGTTTACCGACCAATCAGAATGAAGAGATGTTCGTCACAAACTCCCATTCTCAAAGTCGAAAACCATCGACTCGGCCGCGCGAGCGCGGCGGAGGCTCACTTTACAGTTAGAGCCTCGAGCAGCAACCTGTGCGCTCTTCGTCAAGGTCTCCACTTCGACCGTTAACATGCCTCGTGGCACTGCTAAGAGCGGTGCTAAGACACGCTCCAAGGCTGCAGCCGGTAAGGCGCAGGCCAAGAGCACTAAGCCTCACGGCAAAGGCTCTGCACTTAAGGAGGCTACTCAGGTGGCCTCCGAGGCGATCGGATCCTCGGGTGACGCGGCTGCGGACAAGCGCGCAAGCAGGCGCCGCAGTCCGTCGCCCTCGTCTTCAGACAATCGTCCGAACCCTCGGTTCGTAGAACGTGAGTTCAACTCGGGCAGTGAGGACGATGCCGAGTCCGAGAGCACTCATGATGCTCCTGCGGGCTCTGTGGGAGGGCACAGCCCAGTGCCCAGTGAGCACAAAGAAGACAGCGTGCAGTCGTCCGCTAGTGATCACGGTGATCACAGTCCCAGGACCTCTGTGCGCTCTGAGAGTCCGGCCGTTAAGGCTAAGGGCACTCCCAAAGCCGGTGGCGATGAGGAAGGGAGTCCTCGCAAACGTCTCTCGCTTGCCGAGGGTCTTGCGCGCGCTAAGGCCTCTAAAGCCGAAGGCGCCAAGCCCTCAAAGAAGCGTACCGCCTCTAAGTCTCCACTCCGCGAGGAGAAGGAGACTCGACGCTCCTATCAGAGTCTCTTCGGCTCCTCGGATGAAGAGGAGGAGAAGGAGGAAGAAGAGGAAGAGGAGGGCGCCATTGTTGAGCCCCGGGAGGTCTCGAATGACCTCGACCAGCAGCAGGAGGATTTCCAAGCTGCCCAGCGTGTGCGTGGGGGTTCGGTGGCGGCACCCGTCAGCCAGGGAGCTGCCATCAACTCAAGAGGGTATTGGCCTCCCGAGGAGAGCTCTGGGGCTGACCTCTTCTTAGAGCTTCTCGTCGCTCCTCGTGGCCTTGTGGGCGGCCACACTTCTAGGGGCATCTATGAACGAGCCCTTGTTCAGAAAGAACAGTTGTTCGTCGACAACGTGGAGGCTGCTCGGTGTGTGCTTCTCGCGCCACACCGCATTCCCCTTAAGGACTTCACGACTTGTCGTAAGAAGCCCGAGACCCGGGGTGGTCTCTATCCTGTTTGGGGATACCCCTGGGTTATGCCCGAGAACTGTCCCACATGGAGTTCTTGTGAGGACATGTTCTGGGCGTGGGTGGAGACTCTCAAGTACTCGCCCACGGAGTTATGGGAACTCCATGAAGATCAGCAGCTGTCCCACATCCTGGACCAGCGTGATCTTCGTGTGAGGTTTGCCCACTTGATCAGCAAGCGTATGCTGCCAAGGGACATCCTGAAGCGCGCGGCTTCTAGCGCTCACGATGAGCGCGGGTACGGTATGTATTCATCATCCGTACCCCGTTCGGGCAAGAAGCCCCGGACTACTTATGAAGATGCCGCCGCTTCTGTTCCCAGATTGCGACAGCCTTCGGGCAGTCAATCAGGAGCCGTTCAATCGGCTCCCACGAGTTCTCGGAGTGGGCATAACCCCTCCACTTCACGAGGAGCTGTCGCTTCCCGCGACACCGTTGCTCCTGGAGGATCCGCTCCACGTGGAAGTGGACTTCTCCATTCCGGTCAAGCAGGGGCGGAGGTGCCCTCGTACGAGTACGAGTACTCGGCGCCTCCCGAGAGCCACTCTCGTTCGAGTGCTCCGACTGCGGGTCCGACACGGGACCCTGAGGTTGACCGCCTCCGTCAACGTCTCCTCGTGCTTGAGATTGCACTTGGCCTTGGGACTGGCGGTAATGCTGCCGCCCAGGCCGGGAATCAGGGCGAGCTCGCTCGTCTTGCGGGTCGCCTGGACCTGGTGGAGCTAGAGGTCGCCTGGACCTGGTGGAGCGAGAGGTCGCGAGCCTGCACCTGCGGGTGGACCGCCGGGCCTCTTCGTCCGATCTGGACGAGGCATTTCGCATGATCCGACGGATCGAGGCTTTGTTGCCACGTCCGGAGCCGCCTGCGGCACACTCCCAGACGTACGCGTATGGTGCGTACCCGGCGTACTCAGCGTACTCGGCGTATGGCGCCGGGGTCCGTTTGTATGGAGCCCCTCCGGCGTACGGTCTTGACCGCAGCCTTGCCGTCCCGACCGAGGCTTGGGTGCCTGCTCCGACGCCCTCGTCGACGACTGTGACCGGCCCTCGCTTCGAGGAGCTGGGTCAAGGGGGGTCTGCGAGTCAGCAACCCCCTGCGGGTCAAAGTACCGCTTAAGACGTCCGACATAGAACGTCGGGTGCGTCGTCATTGACTTTGGAAGGTCGATGGTGTACGACGCACCATGTCTGGCCAGGACTGCAAAAGGTCCGATGAAGCGGTGCTTCAGCTTGTTGCTGCCGACAGAGCTAACAGTGTCTAGAGGTAGGTTCCTCGTGTCTAGTAACACTAAGTCACCAATCTCAAATATACTTAAGTTTCCTCTTCCTTGTTTGTCCGAGTACTCCTTTTGTTTATCTTGGGCCGCTGCCATGGCATCGCGGACCCTGCTGACAATGTTCAGCTTGGTATCCATAAAGGATTCCACCTGTTTCCGCAGCGAAACTGGCCTCACATCCGAGACCTGGGAGGAAAGGGCTTTCCGAGCCTCTCCCCCACTTAGAATAGAGGAGTCAGTGTTTCCTCGAAGAGTGAGAGGCACTCTGGGGTGGCGGAAGCCGTTCAAGTAGAACGGCGTGAACCCCGTGGACGCGTGCACCGCGTTGTTGAGCGCAAACTCAACAACTGGAAGCTGCGTCGACCACGTACGTGGCGCTGCCGCGCACACACTGCGCAGAGTGTCCTCGAGCACTCGATTGACGCGCTCTGTTTGGCCGTCTGTCTGCGGATGATCCGCAGTGGACATCTGCAGACGAGTTCCCAGTAAAGGGAACAGCGTTTTCCAAAACGCAGCAGTGAACCGCGGGTCTCGGTCCGAGACAATCGTCTCCGGGAGACCGTGATAGCGGAACACGCCATCGACGAACAACCTTGCGGTTTGTTCGCCCGTCACAGTGACGGGAACTGGAGCAAGATGTACCATCTTGCTCAGCCGACACACGAACACCAAAATTCCGGTGTTGCCGTGTCCGTCGGCGGGAAGCCCAAAGATGAAGTCAAGACTCATCGACTTCCAACAATCAGCCGGTACGGGCAGGCTCTGTAGTGGAGCCGAAGAGTGCCCTGCGGGTTTAACCCGCTGACATGTTTCACATGTCTTGACGTACCGGGCGACCCACTTGTACATGTGGGTCCACCAGAAGGACTTAGAGACCGACAGAAAGGTCTTCTCGCGGCCCAAGTGGCCGCTGGAGGGCGCGTCATGCGCCTCCGCGAGGATGTCGAACTTCAGATCCTCGTCGTTGGGTACGACCACCCGTGGAGGATCAGTGGGCTCCACCCGATAATAGAGGAGGCCCTCCTTCAACTCATATCGGTGGAGCCGTGAGCGCTGTCGCGACGAGAGCCAGTCGGACTTCGCGCTCGTTCCGGCCTTAAGGAGCTTGACGATAGGCGCGACAGCCTCATCGTCCCGATACGCCATGCGTATCCGATCATATAGATCCGTTGTCACCCGCGTGATGTGGGCCAACTCATAGTCGGGACGCCTAGAGAGGGCGTCCGCAAGCACGTTGAGCTTGCCCGGCTTGTACTCGACGCGGAAGTTATATTCCGCGAAGAAGGACAGCCACCTCGCCATCCGTTGGGAGAGGTGAGGCGAGTTAGTCGCCGTCCTCAAGGACGCGTGGTCTGTGTAGATCACAAAGGGCGTAGAGCCCAGAAGGTGAACACGGAACTTCACAAGGGCATATTTCATTGCCAGGAGCTCCTTGTCATGGACAGGGTAGTTCCGCTCGGCGGCTTTGAGCTGCCTGGACTGGAATGAGATGACTCGTTCCTGTCCAGCCGTGTCGTCCTGCAGCAATGCACACCCGATGGCGTAATCGGAGGCATCGCAGACGACGCTAAACGGCTTCGTCTCGTCCGGCAGAGCCAGGACAGGGGCCTCTTGGAGACTGGCCTTGATGCTGTCAAAAGCATCCTGGTGCTCTTGCTCCCAGCGCCA